TATGTAATGTGTTGTAGCTACCTGGAATTTACCATAAACGTCATGGGAAGGCTTCCTGAATTCAGCGTAACATGAAGCCGGCTCGCAACATTTAGCATACAGTGTTGTCTGAACCCCCATGCAGGCCCTCAGAAAGGAGGGTGGGAGTTGCTGAACCCACAGAACACAAAACCAACAGTCTTGTATTATAGGCATTGCTTTAGTACAGTAACTTTACTTTCATTTCTTTTTTGTTCCTTAAAATTTCAGACAAATACAGCTTTAATTTTCAGTCAGTGGTTTCTTCAGCAGACTGCAAAAAAAAAAACATTTGCAACATAAAACACTTGCAAACTTAAAACAGTCTTACTAGATCTACCACACAATTATAAGGAAAAAAATCTCCAACCCTCTTCCATTCGTTCGTCTAGACAACATAAAAATTCTCAAGAACACCCCCTACTTAAGTTCTGCAGTAGACTGGTCCAGGTTCTACTAATTGCACAGTTGTGTGCTTTTCACTTCATTCATGAAACTATTTATAGATGCCTTGTTGTTGTTGATGTAGATTATCTTAATAGTTGGGAAGTATAACATAATATGGATCAGCTTTTCTCCAGATTGTTTCCTGATTACCATGGCAATGTTTACTGAAGGCATGTGTAGTTTATTAGTGTTGTTGTTGATTGTTGTGATAGTTGGGAAACATAAGACTGTGAAACATGGAGAATCTTTTCTCCAGATTGTTGCCTGGTTGCCATGGCAATGTTTAGCAAAGCTGTGTGTAGTTTGTGAGTGTCCCTGATCCATGGCCCAGGGGACGCCCACAAATATGTCACCTCCAGCCACAAAAATGTCAACCTTCCTACCCCAACTGGGTCAGCCTGGGCCAGTGTCTGGAACCAATCTGGGCTCCCTGCTGCAGGAATGGGGTCAAATGTGGGATACTTCTGCAGAGCCTGGGATCCATCCCTGTTTCTTCTCTTTCTTTGGTAGTCCTGCCTACTACTATCTGTCCTCTTCTTCTTCCTTTAATGCCCACAATCATGCATTGTTGTGGTCATTCTGGCATAGTTATTTTCACCTGAGTGAAGTGAGGAAAATCCTGTAAAGTGCCTTGACCAAGGGCACAAAATCGGAGGATTCCAACAAAGGACCTCTTTTGGTTCTGAGGCAAATGCTCAGCCTTTGCACCGCCTCAGGACCCTCTCTAGGACATTACCTGTTCAAAAAGTAGCTAAATATAGATGAATTCCATGCTGAGCTTCCTCCACTTCATTTATCTGACAGACAGGCATACTGGCAGGTTATGGTCCAGACTACATGTAGATATTGAGCTTTTCAAAATTTGGAAGAATTTTCACACGTTGGTAACCTCTGTCAATGTCGAACAGTTGCAATGTTTAACTCACTTTCATCACACTAACAATTGTAATGGTTAGCAGCTTCCTTTCATACTGCAGATTTCAAGCCCGTGATTAACAACTTATAGATGACCAGAACTTCTGGCAGAAGCCCAAAGCAACTTCATACAGTCTGCACCAGTTGTTGTGCCATAAGGCTCAATGGGAGTCACAACTCCTGTTTGTTGTGCTACAGTCTTGCAATATAGGATAAGCCTTGATGAGATCTTGTGTAAACATGAAGATCAGGTTGATTGAAGCTGTCCTTCTTACTTCGCAGTCCCTGTCAACAGAGTTGCTTGTTTAGGTTGTAGAGGCTTAGGCAGGAATTATTATAGCCCAGCAACTCAGTTGAGCTGAAGAGCTTATAATGATCAGGCAAGCTTTGGCATCAAACCTCTGTGGAATTTGCTTGAATGAAACTTGACTTACATATTAAGATTTTGGAGTTCAAATTTTAAAATAATTGAAAGAAATTCTTTCCATCAATACAGAGATTTGAAACACTGAGATTTCATAACTTGAATGGATACATGTGCATGACAATCCTACAGAGTTTCCATTCAGTACCAAGACCTATGATACAGATTTGTGAATGGCCTGGTCCATGTGCATCATTTGCTATTAAGCTTTGTTGGCAATGCTATGAAGTATGTGCCTTTCAGTTTGTCTGGAACATCCGCTTTCCTTGTTACTTGGCACTGCATCCCTGCCAGCATTCCATTATGGTACATCTTTGGCAGCATCAATGGTGATGGCTGCCTCATCCAGAATTTGAAGTTTGAAATAGTTTGGATGATGAAGAGTTTTCACCCTGCTGTATCAATTTCCTTGTATATTGTCAAACTGGATGGTGAAATCAAGGTGCATGTTTCCTCGCTCACTATCTTGGATTTTGTTAATATTCCACTGTCAGAAAAAATTAGATGCCTTGTATTCAAGAACTTTTCCTCTTTCTCCTACATACTACTATTCAACTGATCATGGAGGGGTCCAAGAATCAAATCCCAACATGGCCTAACTAGACATTGAAGGATGTTCTGATAAGGTGTACTTGATGCAGTTAAGTTAGCATTGTACATTGAGGTGTTACAATCATATGTCTCAAAATACAATGTACAAAGTCCTTTTGTGTTCTGATCTCGGAGATGGCACCATATAGATAAACCTAAGCTGTCTCCCCAGTCCTGAGGCCCAGACAAAGCCGGAAATGAGCAGACGTGAGGTTCTCCTGGATTTGGTTGCCGGGACCATGGCCAACTTGCGGTTTGGAAAGGGTCTCCTCAACTGACTCTTGTGATCAAACCAAAGGTCAAAGTATCATTCCCAGCTGGCAACTCACACCAAGAACAGATGGGGAAAACTTGGGACAAGCTCCAACAGAATGGAAATCAATTTGCTTTGAAGAAAATGACCCAGAGTAGATCTTTTGTTTAGAGTTGAAAAGATTAATGTCTTTGCCTGAACAGTTGTACCGATAGGATTACAACAGTGGAGTACTTGACCAACTCCTGGCTGTAAAGCCTGTAATTGTTCTGAATATACATAACAAAGTTCTATACAGTTATAGTATGTCTCTCTGGAAGCATGTCCTTACAGGACCCTGAGCTACATGTACTTTCCACACTAGCAAATGTTCCAGTCTACACTCTACACCATCAGTTGTTCTTCTCTTCAAGCTGCAGATGAGGAGCATGAAGTTACCAATCAAAGCTTCGCCCGGTCTAGGTCTATTGGATATTCATGATATGCTAATAGTATATAAGCAGTGTTTCCATATACAGATTTCCAGACAAACAGACCTTATAAATAGTTTTAATCTGCCAGGATGTTTTGACAAGCTTACAGTGGGCCCATCAGGGAAGGGGGGTCAATTGAGGATGACATCCTGGGCAACCTTGCCTGCTACTGTGTTTCACAGCATCTCAGGATAGGGCCAAATTTACAATGTTTCAATACATTGCAGGCATGTAGTAAGATTTTAGGACTTTACCTGTTTCTTGCAGTCATACATGTACTTGAACCTGAAATGAGCTCCACTGTTCATGGATGGAAGATGATGCCATTGCTCCTGACTGTTGAGGAAGTGCAAACACCAAAGTTATTCATAGTATGCCAAATGGTGAATCTACTAATGTGATTTTGATTATAATAGATTCGAATGAAGCAACACATGTCATAAGCAGCTCCAGAAAGCTGTTATGAATGTTGTCTAATCCTAAGTATAACATAATGCTATCTGCTAGGCTGAAGAAATGTGTTATAGAGGAGTTTATTGGGTAGAAGCTGTCACAGTGAGCTTGAACAAACAAAAGAATTAGTAGAAGACAGGGAGGAACAAATTGGCATCAGCTGAATTTTGAGCCTTTGGTACATGGCAGGATGTCAAGTATCTTGAAAATGAGGGGGTTCTTGTCAAACTTGGCAATGAAGGACTAAGTTGTCAAACAGGTGCAGACATCTGACTACAGTCCTGCTGTTTCCAAGTTAAGCTGCTCGAGGCTTGGCTTGCCAAGACGGTTCAGGAGAGCTGTTAAATTCTCAGATGTTCCGGTAATGAGTGTAAAGGCATTAGGCAGAAAAGTAAAGCTAATCTGTGCTTTGTGACAACACATGGAGATCATTGTTTCGCCAGTCTTTGCTCCCTTGACACAGAAAGGATGCTGTCACTGTCAGTCCCTGTAGTGCACTTGGATTCTCTGTACTGGCATTACTCTTGTGTTACCTTGGAGTGTAGACTACATAACGCTTCCATACAGAATAAAAAGTGCCGCACTGAATGGCTGTATGGTGTGCTAACAAAACATGGACAGGTGTACCATTCACTTTGCAGAGTTGCAAAAAGTCTAGGACTATTTACAGTCCATACCATATTCACTGTAGGTGTACTGGTACTGGTCTTGTTTGTTCAGATTGCCTATCGGTATGTGCGCTAAGGAGTTACTCTTTGTATTAGTATATAAGCATGACTATTGTTTTCAAGTGATTACTTGCACTCTGTAGGCGCAATTCTGTGTCTACTGTTTGCTTTTGTTTGAAAACATTTTTAATTTCCTGTTTTGACAAAAGTTTCTGACCACCAAGGGTGGAGTGGCAACACAGGCAACTGAGTTGACAGTGGCATGTCCAGTGTTCCATTGAAGCCTCACAGGAGTGTGAGGGCACTGTCAGGGTCAAGTCACATGGGAACATTGTGTGTGGTACAGGCCCAGATAACCACACCTGCGGGTGCCTTTGTCCTATGCAAAACCCAACGCCTTTGATGGAACTAAACAAGCCATGTTGCTGTGTTTGATTCATCAACAGAAGAAGGAATAGTTTGCAACCACTTTTAAGGGTTACATTACACTTTGTTTGATGTCCCAAGGAAAGCTCACCAAATATACCAATTTGATGTCTACTACTTGGACTATAAAAAAACAAAATCTACATCATGACATGATGAGGACCTCCTACAGCAGATGCTATGCCTGTTGTGTAGAGAATGGGGCTGACAATCCAACCACTACAGTATCAGGTACTAAAGTGCAGATTCTGAAAAAGCAGAAACATACATGTAACCAATGTTGTTATGTGTTACACTACTTGACTGATCCTGTTATTGCTCCTCTTTTTCAGGGCTTGGTACAAGACATCTTCATCATTCCAGACCCCCTGGCTGCTTACGACCAGTGCGTCAAGTACACCCCAGACTGCCCCAAGAATCAAACAACTGGCACACTGGACGGCAACGGCAATGGCTTCGACCTGTTCGACAAAATCGACTTCGACGCGGACTTGAATAGAGGAGTCACAGTATGTAGTTTTCTTTCTTTTCTTTGTATCTAAACTAAAAACTTAACATTGTATTGGAATCTAAGCTAGTGTATGATGATCTGAATTGATGTTGCATCACTTGACTGGTTGTACCTTTTGCTTGACCAGACTGTTTTGTCTTCCAGACGGACTTTGGCGAGGGGGAAATCGGACTTTTCGGCGAATCCAATGTAAGATTGAAAGATTGTGTTTCTCTTGCTTGATACTGCAATAACAAAACTGATGGTAATCAAGAATCTTAAATGCATGTATCCAACATCCATTTCAAACTTTAGTATTTTGATATCAGATGTTGTCAGATTGTTACAATTTTGTATCCAACAACTTTGAAGTGACAGAACCTCTTCTCCCAAATCTGACAATCAAGTAAATTGCTGTCATTGTTTTTTGTTTCAAGAACAGCACCCTCACAGGCCTTTTTACACAGCAGATCAGAGTCCTAAAAGGAAAGATGATCAAATTGTAAATTGGCAAAGTACCCAGGTTTTGTCAGAAATTTTGGAAAATTTAGGACTGACATCTTTGGCATGGGGCTTTATAGGGTAACACCCTTGCAGGTGGTTGCTCAATCTGTTAAACGGACTAGAAGTTTAGACGAGAGATGTCTGACCTGAAAACTGGCAGGGAACCCAGAACTTGAAATATTTATGATTGGCAATCCTTCAGATTTCTTTTGATCACCATCAGTCAGAAGTGAAATCTAGTAACATAGTTTCAGTAGCAGCTGATGCCAGGAAACATTTTGCTTTTATGGGACAGAGCAGAAATGGAAATAGCTTCTCCTCAAGTGGAAATAGCTTTCCCCCACATTCAGGGCATTTGCTGCACCAAAGCCAGCAGTCCATCTACAAGGTGTAATTTGACCTTTATTCTTCCTGCTGAAATTGACAAGTGACTTGCCCCCCTCCCCCCAACATGTGGACTCTCATGGTGAATGGGTTTGGCCCAGGGTCAGTCTTGCCCAGGACTGCTATCAGACAAAAGAGGCAATGTTCTGAATAATTGTTGAATAGCGTGCAACCCAGTTGTTCAAAAGAGCCTTGCAGGGATGGTGATGATGGGCAGGAACCAGTTGCTTATTTCCCTTAGAAAGGGATTGTTCATGCAAAAATTATGATACAATTTCCGGCAGTAAAACAGTATAAAATGCTTGCTGATAGACTACAATGAGTTTGAAACGAAGAAGCAGATAGTTGAAAAACAAATTTCAATATTCAGTCTGCCATACTGATAATGGAGATAAAGTTTCAAGTTGCATGTTAGTCTTTATGACTGGTTTTATCAATTTTTAAAGAATATTTTGTATGACAAAGATCTTGCAGTTGCTAATCTGTGCTACAAAAAAGAAGGAATGGACAGATGTGTGCCACATGTAGGAAATTGGAATAGTTTAGTCAATCATGTCTTTTGATGAGGAACAAAACAGAAATGCCAAAGTCTGCTTCTCTCTAGCCATCTCCCTGCTGTGTGATCATATCTGCACCAAAATTATTGGTTTCACAAGAGTCAGCATCAGGGAGACAGTGTCAAGGGAATAAAAAAAAGAAATGCAGAACACCTGTGTATTTCAGCAGTTACTTTTCTTGTGTGTAAAATACTTGCTAAGGCCTGGGTAAAACATCTTTCTGTGGTCTTTGTTAAAAGATTTCTCAGAAGACCAGTTGCTCATCCTTAAGCGAAAGTAATGAGAAACACGCCACAGAATGCAAACCCCTGGCTGTATTGGCAAGACTCCCAGCTTTAAGTTTGCTCTAGACTTTGTCCATTCTCACTTTACTGACCTTTGACCATATATACATCTCCCACTGGTGATCTTTTCGGTGGGTTTAAAGACAGCAACTCATTCTTGTCCTGTGTTTTGCTGACCCTTGAGTGCAGTGCCACAATCCATAATGTCAACCACGTGCTCATACAAAAGTTGTCATGTTTAAGATAACCAGAATTGATCGTTGCAATTTCTTGAAAGCAACCGATAGACATAAGTCTCACCTTCCCTCAACATTGCTTAAGGTTTAGTCAGTATACTGCAAGTTTGATTTGCTGATATCAGACATTAGACAATGCTTCCCCAAACCAACTGTCAGGGAAATGAAAACAAAATCATGAAGCAAAATAGATGTGAATTTCCTTGCTGGCACCAGAGCATTGATAAATCCTGCATTGTTTTGAAGAGAGAGGGAGCATCTCTTGGGGAGGAGCCAAAACTGCAGAAGTGCTGTGGTTTGAGAAGGGCAAGCTGCACATGTTTGTGGTTAGGATACATTAACTAGTGGCCAAAAACAATACCAGAAACAGGCAGCACTGCTTTGGAATTCAGGCTTTTAATTTAGACTTGTCTCCAAAACCTGATCATATTTTGATTTGATGCAGTTTCCAGTCTTAAGTGTTAGAAACAATATTTTTTTTCATTTTTAAGTGTTTAATCACTGCAATGCAGAGAGATGTGCATGTACTGTCATTTCTCCATTGTACCCATTCTCTGCACCAGACCCTTTTTCCCATAAACGGCACATTTTAGCTGCACAATCTATTATCGTGCCAATTCCATTTTAGAAAACTCTTCTATAGTTAATTGTCCCAACATACATAGTACATACAGACCAATAGAGAACACCAAGATCACTTCTGTTCAATGATGGGAAAGCTGGAAATTTCTAACCAAACAACCATCTTTTGTGAGAACTGTCATTAGTTGTCAGAGTTAGGAGTCACTACAGATACATGTACTAACTTAATGTAATATTTGGGTAAGTGAAAGAGACTAAAACCTCTGCTTTTCTGTTTTCAGGTTAAGGGGCAGAAGGGTGAGCCTGCTGTCATCGAACCTGTAAGCATGTTGCATCCTCCTACCTCTTCATCTATTCCTGACGTTCAGCTTAATATTCATGGTAGTGTGTTGGGGTGTTGATTACAACTATTTGAATGTTTAGAGTCTTTCAGAAAATATTGCAAAATAAAAATTAAATGTTAACTTGTTTTGTTGTTTTTCAGGGCATGTTCATCCCAGGAAGCCGTGGGTACCCTGGTCCTCCTGTAAGTAAACTCTAGTGTGGATGAAACAGATTGAAATTTTTAGAAAAAAAAAAGACTTTGTGGAAGCACAAGTGACAAATTGAGATTCTGCGTTGGTTGTGGCTAGTTGCTATGTGCGACATTTGTTTACTGGGCAAGCAATAGAGGACTGAGGTACACAACTTAGTGTGGACAAGACAGGGGTGCCGGATTCCAGCCACCTCCAAATTTGGTCTCCTCTTTCATGTCCAGGGCGAAAAATCAGTTTATCAAAGTGTACAGAACAGGATTCCTGTCAGCTGTGTTGTGTGATCGGAATGTTTACAGCAAAGTCTGTCTTCATTTGTATATACACATATTTGAATAACATGAAAACTAAGGACTTAAGGACAAGAGGTCAGGCTAGAGGAATACATTATGAGCATGTTCCAAGCATGTGTAATTGTAAAAGTCCATAAACAACATACAAATGGTAACCAATCATTGTAAAGACATTCTTAACAAAGTTTCTTGCAGAAATAAATATTGATATGAAACTTTATGATTTGTCTTAGGAAAGTGTTAACACATTTCCATACATGTAGTTCCTTTTTTAAGTGCATTTGAAAGATTGACTACCATGTAATGTTTGCTTGCTACAGAGCTGAAGTTTTGGCTGCAACCTTATTTGCTTTGCCTCTCCACAGGGTATCCCGGGACCAAGAGGTTACCCTGGCCCATCTGGAGACCCTGGTGCTCCTGGCCCAAGGGTAGGCATCCCAATAAACCCATCATTGTTCCATTCATAGTGCCCTTTGGTGACCTTGAACCGTGTCCAATGGCTGCCCTTCAGGGTGTCCTGGAACTAAGTTGTCTTTTAGATTTAACAGCTAAGTGCAAGATGTATTTTGGTTGACCTCACAGGCGACATGCCAGTAGCTGTTGGTACTATGTTAGTATGTAAAAGAAATGTCCTACTGAAGATGTGTGTATGGTACATGCAGCATCCAAACAAATCTCCTCCAGGAGCATTACTAGTATAACACCACAGGAGGTTTGTAATACATAGTGTGCCTATAAGGAACACATATGATGAAGAAGGATATGGGGTAGTTTTTAGCATCCCTTTGAGACTTTGTTCAGGTGAAAAACATTAGATATGGTCAAACACACAGTGTATGCAGAAAGATTACACACAGAAAAAATGTCTTCTGTGTTTCTCATGTCCAGAAATCAGAAGCGTGTCACTTACATTGCTAGGGGTACAATTAGTTGTGTCCATTTGGGTGAATGCTCAATGGTTCCTCCCGTCTGTAGGGCCCCCGCGGCAGAGAGGGTCTCCCCGGTGCTGACGGACTGCCTGGACCTCCCGGCCCTGGAATCTCCATCCCTGTGAGTGATGTTTGCCTAAGTTTTAATCATATCAATAGGCTTTATAGAGGGCAAATACTGAAATCCTCCTCCATACTACTGTACTAATGGAGGTCTGTGGTGAGAAGCTTGCCAGTCTTACTTCATGCTGCAAATATAATTTATATTCTACTTCACTACCTGGGGAATTTTTACAGTACACAAACAAGTGTGTATGCTCTTGAAAGACCTTGACAGTCTGAACGATATGACTATTGATCATGATGGTTGCTATTGAGGTGAGTAGTATGGTGCGGGACAAACAAGTCCTTTAGTGGTGGAGGCAATGGAAAATGAAGATGTTGGGAAGATCTCCAAATACATACATTTACACATGTACTAGTCCCTTCTGAACAACTACCAACTGTTACTCAAGCCCCAACAAGACAACTCCACTACACTCACAGAGAGACACAGAAAACTAGCCCTTCTAATGATATTACATGTACAGTGATGAGAATTTTATTTTGGTTTGATTGACAGCTGTCTATGCTGGGGAGTCTGGGAATGGGCGCTGACTGCAGCAAAGGACCCGGCGGCTGTAACGAGGCGGCCATGGCTGAGCAGATCATGGCAGGAATGGTATTGACTTTTGACTTATCCTGACACTAGATTCAACACATCTGCTCCTACATGTACATTTTGTCTGATACTGAGCAGGGAGAAGAAGTCAACTCTGTACACATTTTTGCTGTAGGTTCGGTTGACTTAAGTAAGTAAGTGAAGCATTCTGCATGTGTCTCAAAGTTTATACACAACAACCTGTATATTCAAGCCATTAGAGCATATGGTTGCAACAGCCATTGATTCAGATTGAGTCTTTGATTCAGTAAACAAAGACAAATAAAAACTTTATGTAATTGCAACATTGCCCTGTCTATGGTGCTGATTTGTTACTAGAGATAAGCTAGAACTTTTTTTGACTTTTTGTTGCAGATTGGACCACCTGGCCCGTCTGGTCCTGTTGGCATTGCTGGAAGACCCGGACCTCCTGTAAGTATTGGTTTATAACATTCATCTCCTTGAAAACAGTGGGGTCTAGCGTTAAAGCTCATGCAAAGGTGCAGTTGATCACCTGTACACAATGTTGATCCTTTTGTAACCATATGATACACACAGGTGGTCGACCATGCAAACCCCCTTCCCACCCACATCAAACAAATAGCTGCAGTACTTAACCTGTGCACTGAACCCTGCAGTCTCTTAGGTTTAACCAGCCATTTCTGAGTTTTCTTTCAGTTAGAAGCAAGGGGAATGAATTAAAAGTGACATTTTAACTTTACCAGAAGGACAAAATAGAAAGAAAATTCCTTTCCTCTACAATATTTCTATACGAATAGCAGTACATTGGGCAATGTAATTGTCTCGTGTTTCAAATCACTCTCCTTCTTCTCCTATCATCAGAGGAGTAATGACTCCAGTAACCACCAAGGTCCCCCTCCCTCAAAAATGTCCAATCATTTTTTCAGTCCATTAATTGTACCAAAATGAAAATCACTTAACAAATGAAGTAAAGCACAGTTAAGTATGAAGATGGGAAAAGATCTGAAGGTCCCAAGAAATCAGGAGGTCCTGTCCATCACAGGTGTGAGCCGGAGAGTTTACCTGTGGGGAGTATGGTCCATTACGAGGGCACACCTGCCCAATAACAAATAAACAGGTGTAACCACACACCTGTATCGTCTTACTTTTCTGGCTGGTTGACAGCTTGTTTGGGAAATATAAGCTGGATGCTGTAGCCAAGAATCATCTACATTGATGGGGAGGTAAAAATTGTTGCCAGCTTTTGCACTGCTCTAGGAATCAACTATACAAGACAATTGTAATTTAGTAGATGATGTTTAAATGTTAAGTTATTGGCTTGAACTACATGTATTTGTATGTCTATCTGTCGGGTCACTTGCGGTCTCTTCCAGATATACGTGGATTTCTTTTGTGTAAAAATGTTTGGAAGAATTTATTTTCTTTACCAGGGAACGTTATTCTGGGCAAAGCACTGCATCCAAATATGCAGACATTTGTTTTGTCATTTTTGGGGGACCACCAGCTTTGCATAAACAATGAATAAGGACCGGACCTCCAACCAGGAGCCCTTTCGTGTACCATGTCACGTCTTCTTTTGTGAGGAATGACACGGAGAGACAGCAAACGTAAAGCATTCTAATCCTAGCAGCTGATACACAGAAAACAAAACCACACATGCAGAATCTAATTAGAGAAAAAGAGTTCTAGGGTGGATACATGTACATATACACAAGAACTGTAAGATGTAGTAAATATTTTTTGTCCAAAAAGCGCATTCATTTTGCTGAACCTTAGTGGAAACATCACAGCTGAAGTATCAAAATGTAAGCTCTTTAGGAGCATGGCTCTCTTAACTTTCACTTGGTTTATACAGCTTGAAATGTTTACAAAATGCCACTCTTTTTTCCAACTCCGTATGCCCTCACATCTCATTGTTAGCTTGTGCTGTGTCTTGAGTTCAGACTGTTTACCAACCAGACCTATAGGTTATGTGATGACTATACTGCACTGAAAATGCCATGATTCAGGCATGCAGTCATACCACCAAAGTTTCCTACTGTCCTCAGTAGTATTTTTAAATTTTCCTTTGTTCAAAATGTAGACGAGGGCAAAGTATGCAGTAATTCTTCAATGAAAGCTAAACAATATCTTCCACCAAAACATTACTAAGTAAGTTAATTCGTGCACAGTCCATAAATTCACAGCTGTTTTCTATAATGTTACTTCTCAGTAACATTATAGAAAAGAATATTCATCACCTCACAGTCTGTTTAAGCCGACAATGTGGAAATGATGTTGGACCATATACTAGTATACAGGCTCCAGCAATACATAAAATGCTTAATTCATAGCCATGGTGGGGAGGTGACTTCCTCAAGTTTACGAGGCAAGACCTGCCTGTCAAAACATTCTCTGCACCTTCCCAAGGAAAGCTGAATTTACTCCGGAGAGTTAGTGCACCTAAAGCACCATCAATTTACAGCTTCCACTTAAGAACAGGTTGTTTACTCAATGAAGCTATTGATCTTACTAGGAGGAAATGTCACTCCCACTGGGGGACCAATCGGCGTTTTTCATAAACAGGAACACCGGCTGACCTTCAGACAAAGTTTGACCTTGGTTGGCCCGACATCTTGGACTCATGAGTGTGGATGTAAGATTCAATTGAAGTAAATGGCAAACCTACCTCTGGAATTTGACCTTGTTGAGGAGGTGGAAATTTGCTTCCTGGAGTTGACCTTGAAACTAATGATTTTTTTATGACTTCCTGGATAAATTGTAACTTGAACTTCTTATCCAGTACCCACATGGGCTACAGAACTTAACAATGCCCAACCCCTTCCCCCTATCAAACTAGACTTAGTATACATTGGCCATGTGGGAATGATAATTTTGATAACTATGAGGTAGTACGTTCCAAGACCTACTTTGACAGACTAGATTTAACAGCTTTTACAGCATCACAAACAGCAGAGTGATGTACGACAGCACGTAAGCTGCTGCTTCCGCTCGCACCCTCTCCTGTCCTGGTACTTACAGATTATGTACAGTCAACAAGCCCTTACACAACTAACCTTGTAATTCTCCTTGGTGTGGAAAGGATAACAGTGTCAACCTGGCCTGGCTCCAGCTGAAAACTTGGAAGTCTCTTCCCATCTGTCTGCTTGGCACAAACAGGCTGGCAAACATTTACCCCTGCTGTCAATCCGTGAAGATAAGATTGAGAAAGTCGTTGAGTCAAGGTCAGACATGGCAGGCCTGTAACTACATGTACATGTAGATGTTGGTAGAAATTTTGCACAAGTTGTCAACACAGTGCACAGAGAGAATAACTTAACAGGAAATTCTCTTTATTTGTGGTGTGTTTTCCCCAACAAATGCTGTCAGAATTAAGAAGTGTCAGAATCAAAAAGGATAGACAAAATATTCTCAGTAAAAGATGATGACGCAATGTAACATGATTTGTCTTATCTTTTACAGGGTATGCAAGGAGGCCTTGGGCCTAAGGGTGATGTTGGAGAGATGGGACAAATGGTAAGTCCTTAAGTGTCTTGACACATTTGTACTTGACACAAATTCAGCAAAACAAGAAATCTCTACCCTTACCCAGACATGTACATATTTTGTTAGCATATTATCATCTAAAATGCTTTAGAACCATATAGCCCTGCAAAATCTTCCTTAACTTTCTCCCTGCTGCCTAGGCTACTATTATGGAAATAGCTTATTAGTCTGTGATTCTGTTTTCTGTGTTATAACCTATACATGATGTGTAACATAACATGATTCTTAATTACAGGGTCCTAGAGGGCCTAGGGGACCAATGGGACCACCTGGCAAGGATGGCAAAAGGGTGAGTGGAGTTTTGAGTGGCAGTTTTTGAAAAAGTCTTGCAACAAAGTAATACAGTAATATATGGGACTCAATAACTCATTTTAAAAAATCTACAGCTATGAAAGCTATGAAGTACACATGTATCATGCCTGAAAAGCATTTGAGTTCTACAAGTCAATAACATGTACCTGTAATTTTGACATCCATGAAAGAGTATGCAGTGGGTTTTACGGAATGACCGACCACCAGTTGACCTAGCGCAGTTCTCAGTGATGACATTTCTCGTTACTTGACTTTCTGATGATATGCAGGGAAGACACGGCAAAGATGGAGGAAGAGGCCCACCTGGACAGGATGGTCTGAAGGGTGAGAGGGGCTTCGATGGTCTGCCGGGTCTGCCTGGACAAAAGGGTAACCGGGTATGTACATGGACTACAAGTCTTGGTCACAAGGAAACTGTTACTCAAGCAACTGGATAGGTTTTGGAAACTGATTTGGTTAGGTTTTGACAGTTTACAAAATCTATACAGTTGCTTGAGCACTAATTTCTTTTGTGTTTCTCATTACCTGGATGTCTAACCTTTATTGATGAAGTCTTGATCATCGGTCTTTTTATAAAAAACATTTTTGTTGTATTTCATTGAATATATACTGTATATTCTACCTGGAGTTAAAGTCATTGTGAAGATGCTTGTCAGGATAGCGTATTATTAGACACATCTACCGAACCTTATTAACCCCTTTCCTGTGGGACCCATATGTATAAAGACGAAAACTTACATGTACAATCTTATCTCCACAGGGTGGTCATGGTTCACCTGGCCCTTCTGGTCCTCCTGGAGACAGTGGAGACAAGGTGGGCAACTATCTTCTCTTCTTTATCTGTTACCTCTCAGGATAACAATTTGGGTGACAGAATGTCTTGATTGAATGTAGAAAGGACAATATTTGTAACATTAGATGTTTAAAAGTTGTTTCCTGCTGTATATTCATGCTGTGCTACATGTACTTGCATTGTAACAACAAATATAGACAGCTTTGTATCTAAATGCCAATACATCTACCACAATTTGCAGTTATGTGATAAATATACTTTTGTTGTATGTTTGTATGACACATGTTCAATATCCTTCCTGCTAGGGAGACGATGGAGAGCGTGGACTGCCTGGAATGCCCGGTGAGCCGGTGAGTCAACCTTTTTATTCCTCATTACATGTACTGGTTAAACATGAATGAATTTTTAGCTTCTTGCAAATCGTATGTCCTAAAATTTACAGCATCTTAGTGCTTTTTATAAAAAGTGTGTTATCTCTGCTAGCTTATGGAAACTGGTGAAGATAAACGTTGTCATCTCAACCATTTGACATTTTATCAAACCCTATCAACACTGGGTTGAACTAGGTAACACATAATAATAATTGTATGAAATCATTACAGAGTGGAATCATATTTACACACTATTTCAATCTGCAAGTAAGATCTGAAAACGATACGTACCTGGAATCATGACCGGAACATAGCAGATCGAAGATCCATGCTGATGTGCTTCTCACACTGATAATCATGTACAATGTTCATGCTGTATGTACTGCACATTTGTATATGCTAACAAGTTGCTGGTGTGTTTTGTTGTGCAGGGTCAGCGAGGTCTGATGGGTCCACGTGGTCCCCCTGGTGTCCAGGGTCCTCCTGGCATGCCCGGTAACATGGGACCTGGTGGGATGAAGGGTGCAACGGTAGGTTAACTTACACACATGTATTTCAATGTTGTTCACTGTAGCATCTCTTCATTGTGAGGCTATTTGTCAATACTATACTTAGAGATTTTGATAGACATTGAAATGTAAGCAAGGTACAATGTAGGAAGAATCCTTGGTTGTGCTTAAGAAAATCCCAATATCAAGTGCACTGTTTGTTGTTTCAGGGAGCCCCAGGTAAACCAGGTGCACCTGGTCCCCAGGGTCTGATCGGACCACCCGGATCCCCCGGACCTCAGGGAGCTGTAGGACCACCTGGTCTCACGGTACGGACATTCACATGGACGCATACTTAATTTATATCAGTATCTTATCTTCATAGTACCCCTAGACTGATGTATAGTATTGAAAAACTGTATCTTACCACTAATCAGCAATTGTTTTACATCATGTACATGACTTTGTACAAAATATTGATCATCACTATACCTGTAGTGAAGCAACCATATATACCTGTCACACTAAAGGATTATACATGTTCTGTATAACTGTATAAGACTGACACTTTACTGATTTATGATGGAATAACAATTATCTAATAGAATAATTTTCCTTGGTGAAAACTACTTGTATCAATCTCTTTGTTTTAAACCCTCTTGCAGTTCAGTGATGATGTTGTTTTTATTTTCACATTTAGGGTCCATCAGGAAAGCCCGGACTGCCTGGTCTGCCCGGAGTTGACGGCCTGCCTGTAAGTTCAGATTTTGCATATCTTCCGCCATCATCGTGTAAATTAGTCGTGTTTTTTTAAGGAAGGAAAATGTATTGGTTTGTCTGATACTTTTTGGTCTTCATCTGTGGAGAGAATGGTAAGATTTCAAGCTTAGTTTCACAGGTTCATGTACAGAGTTGATACTTTGTTTCAGGGTCATCCAGGTAAGGAGGGAGTACCTGGACCTAAGGGTGCCACCGGACCACCTGGACCACAGGGCCCTGTCGGATATCCTGGGAGCAGAGGCATCAAGGTATGCAGTGCAAAGTACATGTACACTCATTTAATCAGATGTGCCTGGCTGCACAAAATGTATGTCTCCACAATTTGCATGTTACATGAGACAATGACCATTGTTCTTATTGAGTAACTATGTGCAGCAGTGTTACTTTTCTTAACATGTATATTTTGAAACTCTTTATATATGGAGTTCCTGTCTAGGCAATATAAGCTTACATCTTTTTTTGTACTGCAGGGATCCCAAGGAACAAGAGGTCCCCCTGGCCAGAAGGGAGACAAGGTATGCTAAACCTGGATTGTTCTCTTAGCTGCATAGGATTGAACATTTACTGGTTCATTACAGTGGAATAACAAAGGATCTAAATTAATCCTCTGCTTGTAATACAAGTGAATATATGTAACATTTTTGCCAGCACATGACATTGATATTAATGGCTGTTCTAGAATTCAGGCCTATGTGCTGTTACTTACTATACTGCTGTTATATTTAGTGGGTCAGTTGTACTTATCTGCTGTTTTCCTATCGTTTACAGGGTGAAGATGGCTTCCCAGGTTTCAAGGGTGACCAGGGCCCCAAGGGTGACCGGGTAATCTGTCACAAACCTTATCATTTTAAAAGTTCAAACATGCAAATGACATTGTATACATGTACATGTATGTACCATAATGGTTGTGAAATAAGAAATAAGGATGTCTTGAGACAAAGACAATAGACTTACTTGTTAAGAAGTTATCTTGGTTGTCTCTGTCCATGGTGCTGAACGGTTTGATGGTATTGTTATATCCTGTTTCTGCAGGGCATTGGAGGTGAAATTGGACCACGTGGCCAAGAAGGACCTGAAGGCCCGAAGGTACATAGCTATGTGTTACACAGCAATGCTAAGATACATAATGTATTATATAAACTGGCTTTGGAATAGATGCTTGGTCAATAGAAATGACTTGATTATTGCAGCTGCAAACTCCCGCTGATTTCTAGTGACAGAGGGTTGAATCCTGTGATAACATTCATTCATTATTTTATAGAGCTGCGTATGTGACAATAGTGGTGATGTACAGTTGTAAATCTTAAGTTAATTTCTCTATAAAGATTAGACAAGTAGAGCACTTCACATACATTGTTTGTAGTGCAGCATCCATCCCTGTAGGTTGTCAAAAGATGTAGTTCCCAGAGTTGTAGAAAGACTTATTTGCTGTTGTTCCACCTCAGGGCCGTTCTGGAGCACCTGGTGACCCTGGACCTCCTGGTTCACCTGGTGAAAAGGTGAGAAACAGTCACTATCTGTGGTTTCTGCATCTGTATAAACATGAATACTAAGAAAAAAACATTTGATTTTGATGTTAAAGACTGTTCTGTGACCTTGAATTGTTACACATGTAACATATACACAGTTTTAAGTTGATGAAGTGTAATGATTATCTGTGTACACTTAATGACATGTTATCTGATGTTTAATGCTGCTGACAGCTTTACTGTCTAATGCTTCCTTTTAAGGTTCTTTGAGCAAAGATGCACTGATAACTTTGATCAAGCAAGAAGTGTCCATATCCCTAGAACCTCCAGCTAGCTGTGAGCATATTGTGCTTTTGTTTCATGCTAGACTATTCCTTCCATGTAACCATTTAATATACTTTGTCTCTCTTCAGGGTAAAATGGGTATCCCTGGCCTCCCTGGGTACCCTGGACGGATGGGACCGAAGGTATTTCTAACGGCTCTAGTGTCAACTGCTTTTCAGTAGAAAAAAAGCATATTGATTTTTTTCACACTTTCTGAGTTCGTTATGTAACATACAATATTTCTTCTCTCAACTTTCAATATGCCATGACCTTCAAGCTATGTAAGAGACAGTGACGTTACAGTACACTTAGGAAAAATTGTTAAGTTTAACATAAGATCATAAAAGACATTGACTGTACAGTATACATTTGCCGGGCAATTTTGTAATGTTACATGTAAGTCTAGGGATTGTATTTTTGTGACTTGTAAGGTTTTGGGGTTTCAATAACTTCGTTATGTGACATCAAATGACAAGTTTCTTTTAAGATGTTTCCTTTAAGTTATGTAGCTAGAAATGTTCTGACAAAGAATTATCGAGTACATGTAATTACCATAACATAGTTTGCTCATTGACACACCCCACACGACAATGACTTAGTTCAGACCCCATATATACCCTTCCTTTTTATCTGCACATTTATCTTTTGAAAACCTAGCTAACAAAATATTTCATGACAAAGCAAGCTGCTTGAAGAGGAAGTGTGAGTGACCATCTTTGTTTCATTTTGTAAACAAGATTGTAAAAACAAAAATGCAGTTTAGGTCTTTGGTAAATTTCCTAATTTCCTATTTTGTAAGGTCCTCACACTTCTTTGAGAAAAGCTGCTGTTTGCTTTGTCTTTGACAAAGAACAAACCTTACATGCTCTAAAAAAATGGCTGCATGAACACTTGATGGAAGTATGTGTCCATTGACTCTGAGGTTACAACCTGCTTGTCTGGTTATTACAGATTGGACAACAAAGGCTGTTAATTTCAGACCAATGGTGCACTCCTTCTGCAATTTGCTCTTGAATGAAATTTCGTTGAAATTTGTGCCATTTCGCCTCACATGCTGATGATTGTGTGCAGCTAATGGTAGGTTCCCCCCTTTTTTGCTCTATCCAATCACTTATAGGGATCCCGTGGTTTTGAGGGACCCAAAGGCAGACCTGGGGAACCAGGAAAGAGGGTAACACTCACTTTGTCCTCTGGTCTTTGAGCATTTGTGATCAAATTGTGTGTTGTTTTGTCAATCAGGGTTCTAGGGGATACACAGGGCGACCCGGACGACCCGGCCCGAGGGGAAAGAGGGTAATTGTTGCCTGCAGTGTGTCGTTGTCTTCTCGCTGATGCACACTCCTCTGCTTCCTGCTGCATGGTCCTCTCTCTCCTCTCACACTTCCTGAAAGCTGCAAGCCCTGCAAGAAAACAGGAATACTATGATCTTTTTTTGATTCAGAGTACAACTCCTGTTTGTATTCCATGGTGGAACCGATGGGTTTGCTGCTTTCAGTCCCTTATTCTGCACTCCTTCCTTCCCTTTCTGCCATTCACTTGATATTTGCACTCTTAATTTTTTATGAGATGTTGATAGCTGTAGGGATGCAGGTAATGTCTGCTCCCAGGAAATTTTATCAGTGTGCATGACTCGCTCTTATTTCATTCGCTCTTCACATCTTCCTTTCTTTTCATCTCATTGTCATGGTTTATTATGGCATGAAGTGGCATGTAATTTTTTTTATTTCTTTGTTTATTTTTTTCATATTTGTAAGGAATTGTTATAATGTACAGAAATGTTTTACAGATAACATGTTTATATGGCTTCATGGCAGTGTATGCGCTACTGCTTAATCATAGTCATGATGTAGTGTATTCTGCATGCTGTGAGGTCTGCATGTTGTAAGCTCAGTAATGTGTACATCTCTGCATAGAAAGGTAGCTCTTTAGGTCTTAAAGCTGTGCTGGCCCTACCTCGCTTAGAGCATGTGCTGCAATCTCTCAACTTGCTGTCATGCAACATCTACATGTATACTGCAAGAAAAAAATGGAAATGTGTGACGAAACACAAATTTACTCTCTGGCAAAACAAAAATTCTGTGTTTAACCAAGTTGATTCTTGGACGTTTTGCCGATGAAAGAAACAATGACCAGAACAACATATTTCCATTTCAAAAAAATCAATCTCGCTTCCCAAGCTGCTGCTCCTACTGCTACTGCCTTGGCTGCTGTCTAACCCTGCTCCCATAAGATGTACATGATTCTATAGACCCTTGGCTGTATGTTGGTTGCCTGGCCTCTTGCTGCTGTTGTATTGCTGCTCCTGGCTGTAGAGCTAATGAGTGTCCCATAATCACCAGCAACCCTTCCGTAAAAACGACCACTCCTGGGGCACACGGCACAACAGTGCCGTTTCAGTGCCTCTATTGGCCAACCTGGTTACAGAAAGACTCGTACATGTGTACCTGTATGGATTGGGTGGACCTGATTGAATATTTCAAGCCTTATCCTTATTCTATCAAAAAAAAAATTGATATTTTCATGCTTACATCAAAATGATGACATTTTCATGCCTTGGTTACATCAAAATGAAATGTTACATTGGTAGGGATATACTATTGAAGCCTGCTGTATGCCTTTTTGGAACATCATTGTAATATTTTGGTACCGCATATATGTTTCCTTTAAGGGGAACTAAAACATAAAAATAAATATTGGCCCAAGGCAATAAATTGTCACAAAATGGGTAGCAAAGGCTTCTTTGCTGGGGAAAAAATGTCTCTCTCTCTGTTGCTGTAACATGTAGAACCTCTGGGGTGCTGATATAGTAATGACTACTGGAATAATTTTCTATGATCATATTTAGGACTGTGAAGATACTGTTGTTACATTTGTGTATGTGTTTCCATGTACAACCACTTATTTCTTCCCCCAGTTTACTTAGGGATCTGATGTATGCTGGAATTCCTGACATTTCTGATTCCTATTTACTGAGTTTTTGTGTGGAATAACTCCAGGGTTCTACAGGCAAGCCTGGAGGACGTGGTCAGAGGGGCAAACGAGTATGTACAACTTCACGATATACATGTACATTGTTTACAAACACAGAATGGTTTTTCTTCACCTCCTTCTTGTTGTGTATTCAGACTCCTTTAAAGTAACATTGTTTACATGTATGTCACTTATATCTTGATAAGTCTGAATTAGTGATACTTTTTTCCTTGGATTGAATTTTATGGTGAATTGGTACATGAATATAACCTATTGGTCTCAGTTTGCGTGGTGTAAGTCCCACTGCTTCCCGTTATTTGCTCCTATCCACCTACCTACCCCCAACCCCACCTACACACATCACCACCAGTATGCTTTCAGATGCTAATCCCTCACCATAGATAAGTCACTTTAGACGACTTACTGTATGTTGGACATGTACTTTTTATTCATGGAACTGCCTTACTGCCTAACGTCACCGTAGTTGGATACTAGGATGTGACGTATATGTAATGTAGCTTGACGTAGTTGTGAATTTACTGTGCAAAACTATCAGCTTTTCAAAAAACAGAAACAGACACTTTTTTACCATGTTACCTCTGAAATTGTGTATAGTAATAGTGGTATATTATGATAGAGCACAGATAAAAGGTTGATCTGAGTCTTGGTTTATGATTGTCACATATCAAACATTATCTTTCTACTTCATATTTGGTCACTAAGAGACTTGAGCTGACACCATTCTTTTAGAATCTGAGGTGTACCAAATTTATTTGACTTACATGTACTTCTGCAAAGCTGCAAAGTTTGCTTAGATTTATTCAAATATCCTTAGAAACTTAAGACATTTGTACTGGTAATTTAAAGTCTTACCTGTGCCATAGATGACATACCAGAGACGATAGTATCTAGTACATGTACTGCTTGACCTGACTGCTTCCCTTGTCTGCTGTTGACTCACTTGTCCTCTGTGTCCCTATCCCCCACCTAATAGGGAGAGACAGGAAGTCGTGGGTCTCCAGGACCATCTGGGCCAATTGGAATAAAGGTAGAGTTTCGTGTGTGTCCTGTGTGGGTTGGCAGTTTGGTTTGAAATGTCATTTTCTTCCAGGGAGAGAGAGGTGCAAGGGGAGCACCAGGTCCAACTGGAGGTCCCGGAATTAAGGTAGAATGGGCCCCAGAATAAGCATTCTATGTTACCGGTACATGAAAGGACTGTCCTGATGTCACTGTGCTTGTTCTGGGGCCTGTTGGTGATGCTCTGATAAAAGAGAAAAGTACTGGATTTCTCTGGATTTACGTGTTACATGACTGTATAAATGTATAAATGAAGCATGTGTAAATGCTGATTCTTGGGATAAGAATGAAACAAGTGTAGACCATATGGACACATGTTAACTTTGTACGGTAATTTATGGTCAATGTAACTTGATTTTCACTTATATGTCTGTCCAATGTTACATGTACTCTCCTTGCCAAATACAAATCATGTGTCTTACACTTTAAAATTATACCTCATATGACTTGATTGTTCAAGCATGAGAAGCTTCAACAAAGGATAATGCTATCCTGACGTAAAAAAAAATGCATATTGCAGAAAGAAGCATGGGTGTAACAAAAGTGTATCCTCATCTGACTTGTATTTGTGAAGGAGACTGTCACACCTTTCCTTTTTCAGAGTCACAGGCAAGCAACAGTCCTGCTTCTTGGATGCTGTTGAGATGCTCCTTCTGCAAAGATGTGTCCTGTCTTGCCTGCAAAAACATAATACAGAAACATAACATAATATACTTATTTATGTATAGAATGTACACTGTAACTCAAGCACTATTGGTGTGGTCATCTTGAGAGTTATATAGATGTAATACATGTATATACTTCATTTACCCCTTCTATGTAGGGTGATCCTGGTGAGAACGGACCAGCTGGTGGACCAGGAGAGAGGGTAAGGGTCCATACATGTAACACACTCCTGATTAGGTTATAGTGAAGCTTGATGTTGAAGGATCTTTTATATGTATAGTGAACTATGAAATTCATTGCTGATACAGGATAAGAAAATGTAATGAGGCTGCTGTCAAAGTACCTTTATCAACTTAATATATATTTGGTCTAGACTGTCAGATACTTGATAGGTGACACTGCAGTTTTGAACACTGATCCTTTTTTTCCTGCACACAGGGACCACCAGGACCTCAGGGACCCCCTGGATTCCCAGGACCAAAGGGACCACTTGTAAGTTTAACACAGAACAGAAGTTTAGCTATAGCTTTGGATCACCCTGTGGAAAATTATGGTCTTCATCTCAGCCAGTTATCTTAGGATACTTTACTGTTCGTAAAATGTTACTATTCTGTTGTAATGTATGTTTAATTCAGTACAGTTATGTTCTGATTGTCACTGAATACTACCTACAGTCCTTTGGTGTTAACTCAAACTTCTAATTTGTCTTAGGGACCATCAGGAAAGGACGGAATCCCAGGGCATCCAGGACCACGGGGAGAATCTGTAAGACTTCCAGTTTTCCTTTTCAAACCCCGTATAAATACTTTTAGTACCAATTGCCAATTTCTGTATGAAATATACATAAATGTGATGTTATGAATAGGGTAACAATAATTATTGCTTTTACACTTGCTGTTTCAAAGTGTTAAAAAACAAAAAGTCAGAAGCATTATGTGAATATAATTGGTGTGTGCAAGAAATCAAACAAGAAGATGTCCGTGGTACTGAAACAGCTGCTGTTAGTGTGTCCTTGCTCCAGTATATATGTAAAATGTTTGTGTACCTTTCTCCTTTCTCTGTAGGGCTTCCAAGGAAAGACTGGTCCTCCTGGCCCTGCTGGTGTGATTGGGCCGCCTGTAAGTATGAGAAAGTGTTGAGGATTGAACTAAGGTTATGGTAATATATGATCAGCACAAGCAAATGTCTATGCTACATAGTCATTAAAGAATTGTTGTGCTTGAAGACAATGGAAAGATATTCTTGCCAATGATTTTATTTCTTTGTGTTTTGAGCAAATAAATTAGCGATGTACCAGACTGTTTTATTCGGCAAATTGTTGATGAAGTGATGTTTAAAATGGTTATTACTTGTTATATATATATTCTATTGTAACAGCAATGTATCACTGTATGTGTATCATTTTGATATTGGCTGTATATATCATGTAGTTGCTTTCAATTCTGAATGCTAACACAAGAGCTTCTGTTGATCTTGCAGATAACCTCCAGACAGTAACCCTTCAGTTTTGCATTCCCTTACGGTGACACAGAAGTTTGCTAATCAGGGTCTAATGCATGTATCCCTGAAGAACCCCAACTCTGTTCTATGTTGCAACTTATTTCACAAGCTGCTATTGCTGTAGTCTAGAGATCTTGCAAAATTTGTATCGGTACACCATTCTTTATACTTGCACAAAAGCTCAACAAAGTAGGATCGAAACTTATGGTTCATAGCCTGTAGTTTGCAAAGCATGCACTGCACAGTTATGTTTTATTGACAGGACCAAAAAGCTGGCCTTGCGATTCGCTGACTATAACATGGCTGATCTGACAATGCTCACTACAGTATACCACATGCCACAAACCTTAGACTGCTTTCCCCTTTATCCCAAATAAATGTCACTGCACGTAACGTAACCAACAACAACCACTGTTTAGTATTGAAAAAGACAACTATCCAATGGACTTATGACAGTCATGTACTACCAAGGACAGGACAGGACAGTACCAACGTCTAGACGTGGACGTAGTAGTGCTTGATTGGTTGAACTCTTGTGTCACTGTGTGTGTCCCGTAGGGTGGCACAGGAGATACGGGTGCTGCTGGTGAGAGAGGCTTTCCTGGTCCCCAGGGACGGCCGGGAGAGCCCGGTCTGCCTGGACCGAGTGGGAAGGATGGCGGCAAGGTAACAATCGACCGTGTGTGGGTGCAACAGGAATGACTGATAACGCTTGGCTTAACAAACAGGTACGACGGAAGGCCGCAGACCGCCAGGACGGGGGTGTAAGAGAGTGTCAGGTGCTCAGGTAATAAGATACATGTTGTGGGTACCTCACAGGGCGGTCAAGGTGACGTTGGAGCGGCAGGAAACCGTGGTTTCCCTGGACCTCAGGGTAGACCAGGTGAACAGGGATTACCTGGAGCTGAGGGCAAGGACGGAGAAAGGGTATGTTTGATGGAGCTTATAGGTGCCCAAAATGTTAACTACATAGTACATACAGACTGTATTGTGTAGCCACACACATCTCCAGTCCACCTAGTTTCTGTGGTATTTAGTGTGGTGGATTTGGACTCGATAAGATAAATTAGAATCACATTTTATTGTAATTCGTCCAAAAGCTAGTGAGTTTTGTCTTTTCTTTATGAATGACTCTCTTCAGGATTTGTCACTGAGGCTGGTAAAATTTGATGTCTGTCTTGCTCAGGGAAATGATTAGTTCCTTATTTGGGGTTAAAGGTTTAACAGGAATCCTAACATTGACTTTGCTGACGGCGCTGTATGTTTAACAGGGATGAGTGAAACTGTTTGTACATCAGTGTTGTCAGTGTCTGTGTTACGAAAATTAACAACATGTCAGTTAATGCTGTTAGTACATGTAATGTTAGTTGTTTGATGTCACAAAGAGGGGATGTAAAATTGGCTACAGCCCTCAAAATAGAGGATAATCAAAAGGCAGGTTGCTAAACATATTTGATGATATGCGTATGACAGCTAACAACAATGTTAAAAATTATATAGAACAGAAATAAACAATATATTTTGGTTCACAGACTGAATTTATGTAGTTGTCCAAGCTTACAAAATCCCATGCACATTGTAATTAGTGCCAAAAAGTTTGATTGATTTTTACAAAATAGTTATGTGTGTTACTAGTTTGTCTCAGTCATGTTCAGGATGCTTTTATGATTAAATTTGTATGATTTGGCTGTTACAAAATTGTATTAGTTCATCAAAATTTTCATTAAGCAAACAGAAACAAATTGTATGTTTGATGGTGGCCCATTATGGCTGCTGAGAACTGACCCAGTAGCTGTGCTAACTTGATGTGACCACAGGGACCCCCTGGTCTGCCTGGAGAGTCTGGTAAGGTGGGCCCACCTGGACTGGCTGGCTTCCCTGGACCACGTGGATTGAGAGGACCACCTGTAAGTATGGCTTTAGTACTTATATATATGATACATTGGTTTCAATGCATTATTATTATTAATTAGGCATGCTAAATACATTTTGGATAAGGTACTGTATTCTTATAAGGAACAAACACCAAAGTTATGTAGGCTTTGTGTGTAAAATGGCAAAGGTATGCATAAAATGCTCAATCAAAATCTTTAAGTCGTTCAAATGCATTGTAAACGTTTCGCATTGCAAAATGAGATAGAAGTGAATACACCACTTACATGTATATTCTTGCTCTGTCTGTAGGGAACCCCTGGTACTAAGGGTGATCCTGGACCCAGAGGAGAGGGTGGACCTGATGTAAGTAGCATTTTCAGAATAGCTCTTATTAAAAATCACTTTTGTGAACATTAACATATAAGACAGTCACACTTGTGGCTGTTAAGCTTGCAATGTTCTTTGGTGAACCTCATGCCAACTGGTCTTGTCTTTAGTGTAAAATTTGGAATCTATGATATTACCAGCATACATTGACTGTCAAATATGTATATGTGGGGAAAAGAATGAGACGAGGCCAAGCAATAACCTGGAGGAGAACAGTCGATCTGGACCTTGTTTGCGGATGGGAGGGGGCGCAACAAACCAAAAACTGTGGAAGAAAATGACAGCCCTCCTCAGTGCTAAGCACTGATATGCAGTGAAGAAGAAGAAGACAGTTATATTATAGTGTGTATGTCCTGATGCTTGAAATCACCAAACCCATTTCTTTTGCAGGGCTCGCCCGGCCCAAGAGGAGAACCTGGCCCAGTTGGCCCCATCGGTGTGCCCGGCCGTCCCGGTCAGCCCGGACCCCCCGGCCCCGCCGGTGAGAAGGGAGAGCAGGGAGAGGAGGGCATCATGGGAGGACCTGGGAGAGATGGACTGCCCGGCTCACAGGGTCTGCCTGGAGGACCTGGACCAGCTGGACCCCCCGGAGAGCCTGGGGACAAGGTGGGTGCCTCAGCATGGGAGACATGTTTGGCAAAGTTTCTCAAAGTGACCACATAATTTTTCAACCATGAATAATTATCGAGCATCAGATACATTGCACATGGCTCAAGAAGCCTTTTGATTGAGGATGAGCTGGCAGGATAGCCAATGAGTTTTTCAGTGCAGCATACTGTTGTGAAGGGGTTATTAAGTGGTGTTGCAGTTTCTGCCATAGGTAAGAATGAAGATGATAATCTAGGGGTCTATTTTTTGTCTATAGTCTCTTCTACACCCAAATTGTGTGGAAATTGTTGAAAGATAGGTAACGTTATCTGGCCTTGAGAATTGTCTCACACATAATTTTGACTGTTGACAGGGTGACATGGGTATCCAAGGTGGAAGAGGAAACAAGGGAGCCCGAGGTGACCCAGGTCCCAGCGGCCCGCCCGGCCCCCCTGGACCCATCGGCAGACCAGGACCTGCAGTAAGTTATCTCAATACCCTGTCCAGTCATTCCAGGATATATACTGCAGCTACAACTAGTTTGTCAGTGTTCCTTATAGTCTGTATGAAGATTATACTCTCTTGGTCATATCTGTAATTTCAGATACAATATGAAAGGAAAAGCAAACAATCTATGATAAAGACACAACAAACTTAAACTTCTTTAACTTTGTAATTGAAAAAATGCAATTTTTGTAAAGTATCCCAAGAAGCAGCAAATGGTTGTTTTCCTATTCAGAAGATGATTGATCAATGCAGCTACAACAATTGCTTACAACAATGTACATAGAAGTCTAAATATCATTGTACGACTAGTATAAGGAGAGCTGTTCACATACTCCATACTGTAACATATGCTGTAATTGTGATTGTGTTCATCTCACCAGGGTAACGATGGAGAGCCCGGACCCAGAGGCATCCAAGGTAACTTTGGACAGAAGGGTGACGACGGTCCTCGTGGTTTCCCCGGACCACCCGGTCCCATCGGTCTGCAGGGCATGCCTGGTCCCCCGGGTATCAAGGGCGACCAAGGAGATCCCGGTCCTCTGGTGGGTCTCATCCTCTTCTGTCATTTGATGTTCACATCTGTAGTCTTCATACTGTACATAGGGAAAAATGGTATCTTTTCAAATTTTACAGTTATCAATTAGTAGATGTATACAATGTTGTTAAGTGTCATGCTTTCATTTATGTAAGGAGACTTGTATTGTTTCAGAGCATGAATATTCTGATAGAGGTCTTACACAATGTGTCTTTCTCATTCTTAAACATCTGACAATCTTGTTCTTTAAACTCCCAACAGGGCCCGCCTGGTCCAGAAGGTCCAAGAGGAAACCCAGGCCCATCTGGTGCTGATGTAAGTGTGCAAATGCTTGTCTTCATTTAATCATTATCAACACAGAACACCTATGTGTTTCAAGCCATTCCTATAGGTACATGATTCTTGTCAGAAATAGAAGTAATCCAACTTAAAAAACAGTCAAACTTCCTGTAAATTTTCTCTGTCATTTTGTATATGTACGACAGTTACTAATATGAGTAGACTATTAAGAAATAGTGATTGTGACAATGAGATTCTAAATTTTTCCTGTCTTCTCCTGACTTCCCAGGGTCCCCAAGGCCCGCCTGGAAAGCGTGGACAACCCGGCCGACCTGGAGAGAAGGGAGAACCTGGTGACCCCGGCCAGCCTGGTCTGCCTGGTGATGCTGGTGGTCCTGTGAGTTAAGACTACTTTACAACCATATTCTGATAAAGAAAGTACAAAAAAGATGATTGTTTGAGTCTGCAAAGACAGTACTAACCAATTTTACAACATGTACAATGTACATGTACATGATCTGAATATGATGCGGGTCTATGGGATAGATGCTGCACAGTGCTACCAACATCCTTCAAGATGGAAGGATGCCTATACAGTACTACTACTACTACTATAGGATAAGTTCATACCTTCCTGGAGAGATCTTTTCTGAGCTTTCGTGTTTTCCTGTACAGGGAGCCAAGGGAGACCCTGGCCCTAAGGGTGAGGATGGTTCGTCTGGCATGCCTGGTCCTCCCGGCAAACCTGGACCCAGAGGAGAGGACGGCCCCAAGGGAGATCCTGTAAGCAAAACTTCTGCTTGTCTATCAAATATTTTTTGTTTTCAAATGGATTTTTTCTAAATCTTCATATACATTCTATAAGATTCTGGTTGAAAAATAGCTCATGCTCAGGTGTCCTTGCTCAGTTTTTGAGAAGCTCTTAATATTTTTGGCTAGCATCGTGCCATAGCACAGTGGCCTAGTAATAGCCTTGGGCAGAGATGGCTCGTAGCATTATGTAAGATAGCTTTAGTGATCGATTTTCAAATTATGTTATGATTTTTTCCCTCACAGTCACAACATTATTGTAACATTATGTTTCTTTGTTCCCTAGGGTCCTATTGGTGCACCTGGTGACCCTGGTCCTGTTGGAATCCCCGGACCCCCTGTAAGTACAGACTGGACTATTAATTCATTCTTCTACACAGAGAAGCTACAACATGTACATGTACATCTCACTGGCCTTAATGTTTTAAGTTACATATACTTGAGTGATGCAGTATCATTTGCTATGTTGTATGAAGCAGGCCAAGCACTGTAAAGGATGCAAAGAATATAAAGGGAGCAGAATATGGTTCAAAGAGCACATATTGTTACTGACACTGTCAGTGCAACAATCTTAAGGTGTGAAATGTTAAAGGTTGCCTTGATACTAATTGATGTTTACCTTGATACTATCATTTCCTGTCATCATAAAGAATTGGGCTTTGAGAAATTCCTGTGTCCCTTTCAGGGTCAAGACGGAGAGTCTGGAGTGAAGGGTGAGCGGGGAGAGCGTGGACAGCAGGGCCGTCCTGGTCCGTCTGGAGAACAGGGTCCGCCCGGTCCCCCCGGGAAGCAGGGTGTCCCCGGTCTGCCTGGTCTGGAGGGGCCTGCTGGGATATCTGGAGACAAGGGTGACAGCGGTGAGACAGGACCCCCAGGACAGGCTGGACCAGTCGGGCCTCCGGTAGGTCATTCTGATGGTCATCTACGCTTTTTTTAAAGCATATTCCCATTGATATATGTACTACCTGTAGTAGTGTGCTCAATATTGAATGGACAACAAAGAGAATACATGTATGTTTCAGTGTCTTAGTAAGGAATTATGTAAATGCTAGACATTTCCCTGATGTGGACAAGAAAAATGTTTATTCTTGCTTCTGTGACCAAATTGTTTCTGTGAGGATTTTACCTATACATGTAAATGTATGAAGACCTCATTACCTTGATAGTACCAGCATTGCACTCAGTTTCTTGTCTGACTCTGGGACTGGTTTACACGCGAGCCCCACATTGATTTCTCCTGTTTGTTTAACATTTCTGTCTTCTTCTCCCAGGGTCCTCCTGGTAAGTCTGGACCGGAAGGCCTCCGCGGCATCCCTGGACCTCCTGTAAGTAAATATAATCCTTCAAACTTTTTAAAACTATGGGGTAGTGCTTAACCTAAAATGTTGGGAAAAACATTTAGTACGTAACAACAGGACACAACATGCAACAAGTATATTCAACTAGCATAGCAGTATATCTAAATACATGTAGTATATAAAGCTACCCCTGAATTTAAATGCAATGCTATGATTCACAACTATACCTATAATGTACATGTACATACTCCACTCAGGTCAGCTTGGTAATCTGTTGGATGCATTGTGTTGTGTGGCCATGTGGATGTGTAAAGTGTGTCCCAGTTATGGAAACCTCTCTTTTGTCCTGTTCCAGGGCCAACAAGGACCCCCTGGACCGTCTGGCGACCCTGGCCCTCCCGGCATCCCCGGATCACGAGGTATCTCTGGACTGAAGGGAGACCCTGGACCTAAGGGAGAGAAGGTCAGACTTCTGTGAGACTGTTGGAATACGTCTTATTAGAGCTGTTATTGGGTACAGTTCTGTAGAACATGTTATTGACTCAGACCTTGATGTTCACAGGGCCACCCTGGACTGATCGGTCTGACCGGTCCGATCGGACCCCCAGGAGAGAAGGGAGAGAGAGGCCTGCCTGGTCTGGACGGACCCATTGGACCTAAGGGAGATTCCGTGAGTAAAAAAATGTTCCCAGAGTGTCTCATTGTGGACTTTTGTTGTGTTGTGGCATACTGCTTTTGTGCACGTACAACCAATGACTTGGAGCCTTTCAATTGCATTAATGTCTAGTGAAACTTGTCTGCTTTCAATGTACGTACATTAATGTGTATTGTTGAGATTGTGTGGCCAGCAGCTTTCTGGCAATGGTTGGCAACTTTGTCACAGTAAAGACAGTAATTTATGAAGCTTGTTTGAGTTAATGTTATGGCTTATGTTAATTGTGACGTAACACACAGTGCATTATGATCACATGCCTTATGTTTGATTTTACCAGCTGAGGCCAGCAGAAACTGATGCAGCTTTGTTCAGCTGATTACCTGCCTAACGTCATGCTTGAGTTCCACATTTTACACAAATGGCACATCACATCCTTCAAACATGGTTCCCTCAACTTTTATTTCCTCTTCATTTCTCTCATGGACTTCTTTGAGTATATTGGACTGAAAATTCTTGTCCCTAAATCTGAGTAATGCTAGCTATCAAATTTTGGAAGTTTCCCTCTTTAATGTCCAACTACATGGTCTATTACCTGTAGGCCTTCATTTGCTTTAAATAATTGACAAGATACATGTGTGATCATTTGTAATCTCTACTGAAAACTCTACAAAATGACCCTATTTGTAAAAACACCACCATTCCCACAAAAGTGTTCATTGCTGCTTCTGTAAATTGCTTTGCTACTGAAGCTTTTAAGTCTGACTACCTATTGGTCATAGAAACGTAAAAACTACTCAGACACTAAACCTTTAGCCTTGTGTCTAGACTCCAAACCTATTTTAGCTCCTGAAACTTTATCCTCTCCACTACTTGGTGAGAGGATAAAGATTCGGGAGCTAAAACAGGTTTGGTAACCAGGCTACTAAACCTTCGTCTGTACCTTTGTTCCTGTCCTCCTCAACCTTTACTTCTCCACACTTTAGGGAAGGACTGGTCCCGTCGGCTCTCCTGGAGACTTTGGACTCCCAGGTCAACCCGTGAGTATGCCCGCCCGTGTTTAATGCTTCTGGTCTTTATTTCCTCCCGTTCCATACAGGGAAACGACGGCCCTCGTGGAGGGCCAGGAGAACAGGGAACGACCGGCCTGCCTGTAAGTAACGGAAAACAATCTCAATCAGTCTGCTGGGGACGGTTTGTAGTTTGGGATGGAAATCCAAGAAGCTGCTCATGGAAAGGAAATCTTGAGACTTCAGATTTGAGATCTTAGTCAAGATTATGTATGATTAAAAAGTTCTTTAGAAGCTGAAAGGGAGCAATATTTAAATCATCGGGATCTCATTAAAATTGTCCAGACGGAGACATAGGCACATTCTTGTTAGTTTTGGGACAGGCATGTCTTATGCTTCCGGTCTTATTTTGGCTTGGCCATCAAAGCATCAACAGTACATGCATGAAAACAATGGAAATAATGTTGGTGACAATAAATTGTTGAATTTTGCAGGCATGGATAAAAAAGATGAGGAGTGCTGCATAGTTGTTTTGTGTAAATTCAGAAACGTAATAAAGGTTTCCCAGGTAGCTTTGTAGGATAACGTCAGTTAGATGTAACTATAGTGCAATATAGTCATGTATGTAGAATTCAATAGTGTCATATCTCTTAGTGTGGTTAACATGTGAGTATATTAAGATGGAGTGTGGCCTGACGTCTGTTGTAGTTCTTAGGATTTAGTATATGTGCATCTCACCTGTAGTTACTACATGTATTCCCCTTCATGTTTATACATTTCCTATTCTGACATGATCTGTGTGATTTCTTTCTCTAAAATTAGACAACAACAGGACAATAACTGTAGTTATACTGTACATTTACCTCTGTGTGTTCTACCAGACTGACCTTGGAATCTGACTTTGACTGCATCTGTTGAAATGTTTTTCTGTCTATAGTGTTTAATGATGACTGTTTTTGATGTTAACATCTAACATTAGACTTACACCTCTTTGAGCTAAATAGGAGATAGTAGTACTGTCTAGAACCTTCCCTAACCCATCTATAATGTAGGAATATTTTGTTGTAACAAATGCTTGAATACCTGTTCAACATTCTAAAACTGTACTACTCAGTTGATCTCTCTATAATTATACTTACATGTACCTATCCTTGTTGACAATTCTCTTTGACAAACTGTCTATGGTCCACCCCTTGTGCTTACTAAAGCCCCCATATCAACTAAAAAATCTAAATTGTACAAAATGTAACTTACATTGTACAAATAAGAAATCCGTTTAATTTGTCATCTAACTGAGGCCACACATCAAAAATGATATTGCTTCTTGGAAACAAGCACCCAAGAAAAGTATGATGCGAAAATGTGCCTATTGGCAGGGCACTCTTCAGGGAGCTACCATCTCATGCTTGTTGGAAAAGTTTAATATGTACACAATGTATATTCTGCCCATGACCCGTTGCACATCAAACCTTGTATTTTTCCCCTCTTCCTCGATTTTCATTTTAAAAATAAACAAACAAACATTTTTTTTGGCAAGAAATGATATTAGAAATTCGTAAATACAATGTTTGTGCAACAGCCACACAGAATCAGCCAAGCTGTAAACACAAGGGATGGTAGCCTGCTTTTCAGTGTCTTAACATGTTTGTTATTAACCATCAGGGAGGTCGCGGAGTCAAGGGATCAAAGGGATATATGGTATGTTTGTACACACACGCATGGATGAGTTGTTGATTCTTTGTTGTATGTAGGGACCTGGTGGACCAAAGGGCGAGAAGGGATCGCTGGTATGTGGTACTTTCTGTTCCTGCCAAACCTTTTACAATTTGATAAAAACTGGAGCACAACAAACCAAACCACTTCTGACTGTGACCAGGCATTGCCACATGACCAGTTGTCTTTATACACCATTCATGTACTGATGACTTTCTGTATAATGAACCTCTCTCTCTTTTTCATCGACGTTTTTGCATCAATTTATGATGTCAAACTGCAAGAGGATGACTACATTGAACAATCTTTAATTGCATGGCACAAATAAGGATAGTCTATGGGACAAAACTGACTTCTGTGCTGTAAGAAAATGCATTGACAGTAAGAAAATATTAAAGCATCACTTTTGATAGGACTGGTTAATGATACAACTGTTTACAGCCAAACCACTAAATAATGTACATAAATATTAATTTATATAAATAGAGACATTGAAATATGATTGATACAAATAGAGAGTTTTATTGATAAAAACTAATGACTTCTTCACACACTGTTTCCTTAGCACTTTTTCTTCACACATAACTTTTGTTGTGCATTTTATGAGTGTTAACGACAACATTTACCTCATGTAGGGACCAGCAGGACCTAAGGGAGAAGTTGGAGCACCAGGACCACCTGGACCTCCTGTAAGTTATTATTTCAAGTTAATAGTAAACCTTACCTGGCTATGGATGGCATTACTTGTACATTGTATGTAATAATCATATTAAAGGTGTATAATATGATGTTAAGAGTCAGAAAGCAATCAGATTTTAAATCTTTACCAGTCAGACAATTACATCATGTCCTGATGCCAGTACAGAGCATTGTTAAAAATAGTCTTGGTTTGTCCAAGTTGTGGACCAATGGTTCAGCACCAAGGACAGTCTATTTTCGTCTTATCAACCCTTGATTCTAACATGTTTGTTTGCTGCTCCTCTGTTTCAGGGCCCACCAGGAGGAGAGAGAACAGTGAGTAGAAAATTTTGTATTTTGCTGACATTTTATTGCAATTACATGTACAAATGTAGTAGAAGAATTCTTGGATAGTAAGCTAAAGAATTTGGCATGATGTACATTTTTTGTAATTAGGGACTGCTTGTGTTCAACCTGAAATAAACAATATATTCCCACTCCTCTCTGCAGCCACTACCTCTGAACATCCAGAAGAAGACCAAGAGAGACGTGTCGGATGACTTTGAAGGCTACCAGGCCGTGGAGGGAGACGGCATCAGCTTCCTGGACTATGAGGCCGGAATGGAGGAGATCTTCGGTTCGCTCAACTCCCTCAAGATCGAGATCGAGCAGATGAAGGCACCACTAGGCACACGGGACAACCCAGCCAGAACATGCAAAGACTTGTACATGTGTCACAAGACCTTCCCAGACGGTCAGTTTAGAGAAGTTGCCAGTTTTCATTGGAAACTTTCATGTATTGTCATCATGCTGTGAACATGATTTGTTGAGTTGTACAGTTTCATCTTGAAATGATTTTGCTCAGTGGTATGTTGCAGTATAGTTGTTTTTTGGCACATGTATATAGTGGTATATACCAGTATCAAGGATTGCGTTGCACAGTCACAAGGGCATGCAGAGGGGGGCCACCTTCCCAGATCTTCGGACCCAAAGAACCAGCCACCATATTGCTAGGACAGTCTGTGCCTGCATGTAGTGGGATTGTTCATTCATGCATGTGTTTACATACGTTTCTCCCCAGGCATGTACTGGATTGATCCTAACCAGGGCTGCTCTAAGGACGCCATCCAGGTGTTCTGTAACCTCACTGCCGGAGGAGAGACCTGCGTCGAGCCGGACGAGATGCGCAAATCGGTTCGCCTTGCTCTTCTCTTTCTTGTCTTTTGATTTTCGTGCAGGAATACATGTTGGGCAGTGCAAACATTGAAGTACCTGTCAGATAAACCATATATACAAATGTACATCTACTCTAGGCTAGATTTTGTATACACATGTATATGTCCCACTCCTTTGAATATATATGCTATTATATATACAGTACAATATGTGTTATATGTAATAAATAATCGTCTTTCTTCTATTGTACACAGCATCGAATGGCATCGTGGAGAGAGGAAAATCCAAAGGATTGGTTCAGCGACTACATAAGAGGGTTCCCCGTGAGTAATTCATGTCATATGTTAAGGCCATACATACATACATACATACATAAAGATAGTAGTAATCAAAGCTGCCATTGCATAACAACATCTGGCATTACGAACTGCAGATACATTGTAGAAGTCTTAATATCAACCTTTGATTAAATTTTTATATATTTCCATGTCTTCTAGATCTCCTACACAAGGGTGGGTGTTGTACAGTTGACCTTCTTGAGGCTTCTGCACGCCAAGGCAACACAAAACTTCACCTACTTCTGTTCCAACTCCGTCGCGTGGTACGACTCCAAGACTGGCCGCTACAGCAAGGCCATCACGCTGCAGGGCAACAATGATAATGAATACACGTGGGACAGCAAAACCAGGCCAGAAGTTATTTATGATGGCTGCAAAGTAAGTACTTTGGTTCAACACAATAGACTGTTGCTCACCTCGAATTTTCTGTTGCACATCCATCGACCTTCTTCAATAGTGAAGTGATTCGATTACTCTGAGAGCAGGTGACCTTAGGGACATGTGACATGAGTAATGAGTCGTAGTTGCCTGATAAGTATTATGGAGTGTACCATCACATGATGACCTTCCATGCTAAGATGAAGTCAATTTGGTTCACTGTTTTAAGGAGTATCAAGCCATGATAATCTGTGTGTCCAGTTTCATTAACTGTGTTCTAAATCTTAACAAATTTTGATGGTTTTAACTTTATTCCATTTTATTTTGTGGAACAGGTGGTAATTTGTTGTTTTCTCTCTGCAGGATGGGAAATACGACAAGACAGTTTTCGAAATCACAACAACAAAAATGTTCGACCTGCCGATCACGGACTTAAAGGTTACGGACATCGGAAAGGATGACCAGAGGTTCGGCTTTGAAGTGGGAGCCATATGTTTCAGCTAAGGGGGAGGAGGACCACCTAACCCAGGAACATGCAAATTTTCAGAAATATTGATGATCTAACAAAAGGCTAAACGAAAGAAAAAAATTTTGTGAACTTTTTGATACGAGCCTTTTATTTTTGAGATGTCATGATAACATGCCCTAGTGAGAAGGAAACAGGGTGACGAAAGGAGAGCATTTAAGCCAGGATGGCCACCGTCTAGTTTCCCATAAACAACTACCCAGGAAGTTTTCAGGGACTTGTAGAAATCTTGGCTGCCCTGAGAACAAAATCTACAGCCATACTGTTACACCATTTTTGGTGTCAAATATTGCAATTACATTAGTATGACCCTAAGCACAGCAATGGGTTTCATTGTTACAGTGGCCATTACTTGTCACAACGTAAACAGCTCCATATCAAGACTGGAATCTGTTGCTGTGTTCAGGGCCAGAAACCCTTGGTGCTATGTCAAACATTCTACCTGTAGCCTTTGACAGGCCTTGCTCAAGGCTATGAAGTATAAACCCAAGCAAAACCCTCGACAGGCCTGTTCTTAGGCTGTTTTCCTTAAAGTTGTCACTAGCCAAAAATGAGAAGTACTTCAGTGCTTGGCTTTAAGACAAATTTCCAAAGGTGCTATGAAACTGTATGTACTTGGCCATTATGGAGAAAATTTGCATGTTACTGGCTTGTGTATGCAAATATTATTTTTTTGGCATTTTGAGTAAGCATTTTATTACCAGGTAACATGTTATCTTTCACACAGGTGCTATCTCTTCAAGTTATTATTTTGTAAGCATTTTTACCCAAGTTGAGAACATTTTGAAAATTTTTAAATTTTGTACTTTCCTACTGTAAGTAAGGACATAATGCCCATAGATTTAGGTGTTAGAGAGGCTTTTTGTTTAATAGATGTGTAAAACTGGCTAACTGGAACAACATATTAAAAATGTGGCACTGAAAAGTTTTTGTAAGCAATGTTTGGCTACTTCAAGTCTATATATAAATCTATATATACTAGTTGCTAAGTTTTTGTATTCTAGTAGCTGGCTAAGGTGAATTTGTGACATGATCTATACAGCTAGTTGGTATTAGTTCAGCTCATATCCACATCTTACCCCACCCTTCCCTTTGTTGCAAAAGGTTACGTTTGACCCTCTGGATGTGTGTACCCATTCACTTTGACCCAATGGCGTCACCTGCTACATGATACTGTTTCCCATTCTCGGGAACGCTGTTCAGTCTCACCTGGCGTTATCAGCTTTGTGACAGTGTACGTGCAGGTGAATGGGAACATTTGTGAACAGGTGCCTCAGATTCGTTTCTTCCTGACGGGCTGTCCTTGGCTCTAAAACGACCTTGCCAACCAACATGGCAGCCGTCATGGGACAAGTGAATCTGTGCCGCTTCCAGCTGAGGTCAAAGGTCACAGCCAATCCAAGTGAACTGTGGGAGAAACGATGTGTGCACTATCGTCTTTTCACTTCCATCTGGTCCTCAGTTTGAGAGTGTGATATGGAGGGTGGTGTGCTTGTCTGCTACAGGGTGCTACTTAGACGTTAGACTGACTCACAAATAAACAGACAGCTGCGTTGTATCTAGATAGCTGTATTCTACTAAATCTCTACAAGTTTCTCTTTTATATAGGAACACATTGCCAGTAAATGAAAGTAATAATCGTATGTAGGAGGCAAGGAATATGTGGAACTGCCAGAAATAATGGATAACGAACTTCTAACAGAATGATTCCAACAACTAATATGACAAGGAGTGAGAGTTCCACCACAGCGTGTTAACTACAGGGACAATCACTGTTGATAAATTCCAAGTGTCTGTTGTAAAAACTTTGCTTGGCTTTGTAAATAAGCAGGTGTAAGAGCCGGCTGTGATGGCCAACATTCTCTCATTTTCAGGGAGAACTTTAACTAAACAATCCACTGGCCAGTGGAGAGGGCAGTAAAAACACCAGTAACATGAAATGTCTCTGCGTCGCTGCTCTTTTCAAACTCCTAGGAAGAACAACCGAACACCGTTGGTCTGAAAGTTGATTGGCTGCTGTCCATCACAGCCCTCTTGCCTGTTTTTAGCATCCATCCTCTGATCTCTCACACGGTGTACAGTCTGGTCCGGGATTGGACTCTGCTCTTATCCCACTGCATGCCCCCTTCCTCATCCCAAATCTCTGACTCTTTACGTCCGGACAACTTATGTACCATACATAGGCAGCCTCAGATGTCTTCCCTACCCCTCCGATCCCTTACCTATACCTGTACACTGTGTGAGAATAATACCAATACTGTCACTACCTACAATGTGCTGATGCACTTCAGTATATCACAACCTCTTCAGTGTCAGTCATAAGAGACAAAGAAATTGTCTATTTTTATAAAGTTTGGATACTTGTCATGTATACTCTAAGAAAATTATCCTTTTGGGAAGTTACTTCTGTGTATCTTGAAATGTAGGCTAACAATTGTCCACCCAATAAAAGGTGCATCGCCATGCATTCTGTTGTCTGTTGTGTCTCAATTCCCAATTTGTTAGATTATAGTGTACAATGTAAATATATACTCATACATTGTATAACTGACTAACAAGATATCAGAGTGATTCATATATTGTACACGTAAGCTATGTATTCAACTCTGTAATATACTTGTTGGATGGTACTAAGGACCTTGTCACCCCTACATACATGTATCTTAGATAAAGTAGCCTTGAATTTTAATGTGCCTTGATGTTTCTTACATTGCATACTGTTAGTTTTAAGTATGAAACCATAAATAGAAACCAACCAATTACATTTTGTACATTAACGTGAAATGTAAATGGAAACATACAACTAACCATGAACTGAGGTAGTTTGGGGAGTAGACTCCTACCTGTTCTTACAGTATTCCAGTACTTGCTCTTGGATGGTTCATAATTAGTTGGTCTTAGAGACGAGAAAAGAACACTCCCACCATATTGACTAATGAGTGATCAGCCTGAGAATCAAGTCCTGTCCTGTTTGAAGTAGTTTGGTGCTGCCTCCTGTAACCATCTCTGGTCCACCACGCTCAAGTCTCTCATGTAACACTTGGTGGTCTGGACCAGCTCGCTGAAAATGACGTACGCAGGCTTACACTGGAACAGACACGACGACGGGTGGATGGCCACGGGCTGTCGCGTCTCCACCGTGATGTACTCCCCTCCGCGCTGCAGCTCGGCGGCGTTCATGAACAGTCCCTTGGCCAGGCACGTCCTGACGACCGCCGTGTCCTGCCCCGCGGACTCCAGCGGGATCTGCAGTCTCTGACACAGGTCCCGCAGCTGACCGCGGATGTCCATGGCGTTACTGACGTTCCTGGAGTTGATGAAGTTTTCCTGGCACCACTGCCGGTTCCCTTTCACAGCCTGTAAGAGGGAGGAGAGGTGCTTACATGTATATTAACTGTGTGAGTGACATGGCTGCACTTCTCAAAATAATGTTGGGCACTCTCTGCTCCATGTGGTGTACAGACAAATGTTAAGTACTCCTGGGATCAAGAAATTTTAAAGAAAATTGAAGTTTTAAATTTCTACATGCACATCAGTATTTGGCCTATACATTTGAAATATGACTAATTTTTATTGCTGGCAGTCCAATACTGTACTGTCACTTCATCAATTCAGGCTGCAACTGTTGTGATGAACTCATGAACCATTACTACATGTACATGATAAGAGTGTACTTGAATGATTTCTATTCAGTAATATGAACTGAAGGCCTATACTCTATTGAGTGAATAATCTTATAATAGTTTTGAAGAACTTCAAATCTGACCTTGAAGGCCCTGTAGATGTTGAGCAGCATGATGTGGTCCCCTTCCTCTGACATGAACTTTCTCCTGACAGCTGCGGCCATCTCTCGCTTACTGGCCGGAGTGAAGAGGACAGAGTCCACAGACAACATGGCCACGATGGTCAGGATCTCCTCTGTGCAGTGTTGTTCCTGGGGAGTGACAGAAGACAGAAAAATATACATATGAAACAAAGTATCTACAGTGTACAGAAATGGTCATTTGCATAACTACAGTACAAATGCAAAGTCAGGTTTATTGTGGATCAACTCTCCTTCAGCCATCTACCCAGGAGGGACAGCTTTTCTTTTAGGAGAGGGCAGAGTACACAGGACATTGGAATACATCAACATACATTTACAAACAATTATGACAATTATGAGGTGGAACTCTTAGGTCTCTAAAGAGTTTCTCTTGACTAAAACCTAAGGCTGAGTTCATATTGAGTAAGACCTGATGACAGAAGTAGACACTGACCTTGGCAGCCAGGATGACCTTGGCAAACCTGGGGTCCAGTGGAAATGCTGCCATGAGTCTGCCCAGGGGGGTCAGCTGGACCTGCTGCTGCTTTTCCACAGCACCCAGTAGATGGAGCTGCTGCATCGCTGTCAGAAGGGACTGGGGAAAAAACACAGGGTTTGCTTCAAATCTTGTAGTACCTAGAGAAATATCAGCCCCCAACAAGCCAGTTCTGAAAATCTCTGAGCCAGAATGATGTTGATTGATAAAATTATAAGTAGGACTGCTTTCTACTGTAGGAAGGGGTAACCCCTGCTTCCCCTATTTAAGTTAGTCCTCACATCTCAGTGATTTGACCTTGTCTTGGGATGATGTTTTCAACTTACAAAGAAGAGATGGTATTTTAATCCTACTCATGTAACCTGTAACCTTGAAGTGGCCTTCAGGTCTTGTTAGATGGTGGCTCCTGAGTGAAAAAGTATGTAATACCTATGTTACAGGCATGCTACCACCCATGTCTTCACCTCCTGCCCTTGTCAACCTTCCCATGCATGAAGTCACCACTAACAGTGTTTAGCAGTCCTACCTCTCTGGTTGGTTTGTCCATGAAGTCGAACTCCATGATGTCGTGTATCCTGAGAGCCAGCAGGTGCAGCACCACGCTGGCCAGGTTCACTCTCTGGATCTCCGGGGTGGTCGTCTGGGCCAGCTCATCAAACTCTTCCTCTGTCAGCAGCCGGTAGCACGTCCCGGAACTCTCTCGACCTGGGGGAGGGATGGAGAATGAATTGACTTTCGTTTAAATCTGCTATCATAAAACAGCAAGTAAAAAAATGTGACAAAAAAATTGTTAACAAAAAAGCACTTCACTAACCACTAATGCAAAAAAAGGAACCTACTGATGACCTACAGCCCTTTGTAATGATGACCTTTGCACTAGATGACCTATGACTTAAATATGCCAGCCTACTGTGATGATTCCTACAAAGATCTTACTGTTGAATGTAATGTTTTGTTATGTGTGGAGCACAGCATCAGCTGAAATTGCTGCCTAGTGCTCTACATGTATTGCAATTGTAGTAATTTGAATAAAGAAAGGAAGAGTGACCTCTGACCCTGATCAGCCCTGCTTGAGATGGTGAACTGTGACCTATGACCCTACCTGCCCTTCCTGTTCTCTGCCAGGCCTGAGCTTTAGACACCTTCTTCACCACCAGACTGTCCAGCCCACTGGTGGGTCGGAACAGCCTCTGCTTCACCATGGCTGTGTCCACCACGTGTTTGATGCCTTTGATTGTCACTGATGTTTCTGCTATGTTGGTGGCAAGAATAACCTGGAAAAGAAAATCTGACTGATGAAATTCTGATGATGAAGGATTGGCATGAGTGAACTCATTCACTCAATCAACAGTAACTCTCCTACTTTTCTAGCCTTTTGATGATTGATTGACAAATAGCTCTTGTATTTCAAGTGGGCTGATCATGATGCCCTTCAGAAAAGTAACTCATGATGATGATAAAAATGAGATGATGATGACACAAAAAATGGCTTTATTAAAAAGCAAGAGAAAAGAGTTCATAAAGACATGAAAGTTCTTCATCCTTATAAAGAGTGAGCCCTATGTACAACTGACAAGATTCAGTTCCACCACATTTTTAAGGTACATGTAGATGCAGTACCTTCCTGGTCCCGCTAGGTGCCGCTTCAAAGGCCTTGAGCTGTGCTGCAGGCGGGAGTGCAGCGTACAGGGGGCGTACTGCCATACCGGGCGCGTCAGACGGACAGTGGTGCGCGATGTCCCTCATGGTGCGAGCCAGAGTCTCGATCTCCTCCTGTCCGGTCAGGAACACCAGCACGTCCTCCTGTGGGGGCACCTCCTGGTGGATCTGGAACACTAGTGCAGGACAACACCGCGGTGTTAGAGTTTCAGGCAAGACCCGATATCAACTGTAAGAACTATTACCTCTAAGACTGTTGGCACTGTTAACATTAGACTGTTAGCAATACCAACGATATAATATGTATATGTTGGCAGTTGTCATACATTGCATCCGCTACGATTGTTATGCAAAAACTTATTACGTATTACTAATACTGCCATTATGTGGTAGTGTCAAGTTATTACAGGTCCTGACATACCCCAATTCTTATGGGCTCTATAACATGCTAACAGCTGGGCTAAACATCCACTTTGAAGGATTGCATCCTCTACCTGTGCAAATTGGGTTCAGAACACTGGCCAGTCTGGGGTTTGAACTCCTAACCTCCAGGTCCAGGAGCAAGAGTACTATCTGGACCACAGCATGGCATAGGCAATGTCATCTTTGATTAAAATATTAACATTATCATTATAGACAAAGTGAAAGCTACAACCATTGTATTCCTTTGACTTCTCATATACTTGAACCATGCATGTCCTATATCGGTACTTGAAGCCCTGTCTGTCTGGTATTAAATGTTCCCATTCTGCAGGATTCTTGCACAGGTAAACAGGAATGTTGATTAACCCCAGGTCTCACCCAACTGTTTCAACTTAGAGACTTCCTCCAGACTGACAGACAGAAGGACAGGACCTCTATAGACCCCTGTCCTCAGGAAAATCTTACTCTCGTGGGAGACCTTATCAGGGTCTGGGTCTGGCTGTAATTTGGACATGTCAAACAAATCTAACCTCTTCATTCTTTGGTAACACATACACATGTATGTCGAATCAAACTAGCTAAATTAGCAAGTTGCTATGACTAAGTGCAAGCTACACAGTATGGCTACTTGTAATAATGAAAAGGACGCTCCCTATATAAATCTGAATTTTAATTTCAAATATGTAAAACAGGGAAAACTCAAGCAGGGTTCATATGCCTCATATGCAGACTGTGCAAAAATAAGCAATTATTCCTGTTGTTGTGATCCTCATTTTGCTTTTTTTTAGCAGCATCACTCACTGTGACACCCTATCAGTCAGTCTGTGTTACATTCTATTGAGTTAGGGAGCAGACTATAGAACATGTGGCTTGAATACTGGACACTAAATACTCAAAAAGTCCACTGCCTACTGGGCTATTAAACTCTATCAATTAGATGTCTGCATGTATCCTCACATTTTTACCTAATTGAGTCAAGTGAAGTTGTACAACTTTTGCTGTTTTAAATCAGGCTATTCTTGTTAGTTTGAGTTTTGGTGGATGTATACAACATACAAATTTTGTAAGTATGATCATGTTTGTAATGAAAATCAGAACTTAACCTTTAAATCCTTTATTTGTAGTGAGAATTAATGGCATAACATTTGATTTGAGTGCGTTCCTAATAAACATCCATAATATCTTGATTCAGACTAAGCAAGGGATCCTGAGGTGAGAACAAGCCAATGGTGAAAGTGGTGATTTGCCTAACTTACACAGCCTAACTGTACCCTCTGTGTAGTTAGGTAAATTCCAATTGCATGGTGTTTGTCCGTCAGTCTGACATACAGTACAAGCTGAATATCAGCAGGGTTGTAATAATAAATATCCTAGTATAATGACAAATGAACATCAATTTAAAACTACAAGGCATGGCATAGGAAAATTAATATTGTGTTTCCTGTTTCAGTCCTGAAAAAAAACTAGGGTCGGTACATAAGGATTGTCTTTTTAGATATCAGCTGAACTGATGCAACAAATAAAGCTTAACAACGCATCCGGACTGTCTCAAGGACCCATCCATCTGTTTGCTCGTGGACAAATATTTTACCAGCTTTACTGAAGAAAAAAGTGTTTCTGAAAATGAGTTTAAGATGACCTTTCACAAATTCAGAGGGTTTGAAAAGTAATCTCCAAGCAGATCATCATACGGTGGCAAGACAGTATCAATTGGCCAGAGGAGTGTCTATTACACTCCTCTGGCCAATAGATACTGTGGCTAGGTGGCTAATGGACACTCTGGCCATTATGGATACTGTCTTGCCACCGTATGATCTGCTTGGAGATTATTGAAATGTATAAATACAGCCAGGTGACTGACCTGTGACCAGTGCAGCGTAGATGTAATCCTCCTGCGGCTCCCTGGTGTACATGACCTTGACTGGGTGCTGTCTGCCCTCCAGGTACAGCACTGGGGCCCTGAGGGCAAAGGTCAAACAGGCACATTGGCAGAATTAGGAAGGAGTTTATGCAACTTTGTAATAAAGCCAACCATGATCAACCATTTTTGCAGTAATCATAATAATTTATTGTCTTGAATCAGCCAGGATCATGCCAGTACAGATTTACTACTAATAGTATTTTGGTACCCATAAAGACATTGGTATTTACATGTATGGTATTACATGTACTTTGCAGTAATACCATAGTTGTAAGTCCCAAATGGTTTTGATGCAATACATAGTTGTTGTATGTTAAATAATAAGTATGTACACAATCTATATGTCTATATCATTTTGTTAAGTAGTGCTATGACACTGAGATTAGCCATTCTGGATAGATAAAACAAGTAACAAACAAACAACCATGAAACAAAAAGCAACATGTCAGCATTACCTGTTGAAGTACTGAGAGAAGTGATCCACGTCCATAGTGGCAGACATGACGATGACCTTCAGAGGTCGGTGGTTGGACTCTTTCCGTCTCTTCTGCGCTGCTTTAACAACACCAAACAGGATGTCGGTTTGGATGGTTCTCTCATGGGCCTCGTCCAGGATGATCACACTGTACCTGAGGAGGAACAACAGACTCTGAGTGAACAGTGTTGATAAGAAACTACCTACATTTTGTGTAAGTGTAGCACTGCTACAAATGACTGGACATACTGAAAGAGCAAGAAAAATTGAATGATAAGTATGTATTGTATGTGGTGGAGCCAGTAATCTTCATCACAGTGCCATTTTCCTGTCAATGTAAATCATGATTATTCTAAAAACAGACGTGACCAAACACTTTGATTACAGAGTAAAGTGCACTTTGTGAGACAGCTGAAATTTTCTATTTGCTAGGGATAAAAAAAAGTACTAATATCAATACCTCTTCAGCAAGGGATCACCTATAGCTTCCCTCAGCAGCATGCCGTCTGTCATGTACTTAATCCTGGTGTTCTCACTGGTCATGTCATCAAAACGGACACAGTAGCCAACCTGTGGGCACAGCAAGGAGACATCAACACATACTACCTGCATCCAGTGTTATAGCCTCTACTAGGCTTCGGAAGGTAGCTGGAAAGAGTAGAAATTAGTACAGAGTACAGTTCAGGTGTGGCAAACTGTACTCTCTAGTGGACCAACTCTCTCTACTTGGCCAGTTTCTACTCTTTCCACTCGCCTCCCAGAGCCTGGTAGAGGCTACCAGTGTTATGCTCAGTATCAAATTGGAACATGTCACTCACAAGAAAGACTAGGAACATAAAGTCCTTGGACCCACCTGTGCTCCTAACTCACATCCTCTCTCCTTAGCCACCCTGGTTGCCACGGTTACAGCCGCCACCCTCCTGGGCTGGGTACAGGCAACAGTTCCTATCTGCAGGGGGAGAGTTAGACATCACATCTGGCATAGAAGCTCACTGACAAAGCAGGACAAGAATAAGATATGATCTCTTTGTCTGTTAAGGAAAAACAATACACATATCTTTGTCTGTTGTAGCTGACTGGAAGGTGCCCCAAACAGTAAGCCAACCAAAAGCTTTAGTTGGTATGCTAAACCCCTGGTTAAATAAGGTTGATACTTGAGTCCCTTGTTACTGTCAAAATTTCTTCTTACCTTGCCAAAACCAGCTTCCATGAGGTACTGAGGAATCTGAGTTGTCTTTCCACTTCCTGTCTCACCTAAAGGAAGCAAACATTATATAAACATGAGACTTTTATTCACATTTGAGAGTATGTACAACCCTATGTTAGCCTGGATGTAACAATTTTCTTAACGTGATGAAAAAAAGTCTTGACATTTACTGAAAGTCAGAATCTCAGTATGTAGTAAATAGGATTTTGTTCTTGCCGCAAAAGCACCACCTACATCGGGCTACATATAGTGGCAAAAAGCAGCACTCATCAGAAGCTCTGAGGAAGGTGTCTGATAGGCATTGAAACACTTGACAGAGCCACCTGGAGGTGCTTTGTGAAGTCTAGCCAACTTATGACTACAGGGACCCTAACAGCAGTATAATCTAAGCTTGGATATTGAGTGACTGATATCGATCATGGATAGAACTATTCTACAAGGGGTCCTCACCGATGAGAATGACGGTGTCCAGTCGCTGTACCTGTTGGATGATCTTCCTGCGTGCGGGGTAGATGGGCAGGGACAGCCGCTCCCGTCGCAGGGCCTCCCCAGAAACGGGGAACAGTGACACATTGTGGTGGTACTTCCTCTTCTTGGGCGTTGGGATGTCTCCCTCTCTCTCTACCATGGTGCAGCTACTTGTGTTGTTTCAACACACAACAGGACATACAACGAAAAAAAAATTGCCAAAAATGACATTGGCATACCAAATTCACACTTGTTTTGTAAGTTGTATGCAAAAAGACAGCTGAAATTATTATAGACATCTGATGTTTATATTTTGAAAGATAAATATAATGATAATGATATTATTGCTAAATCAAAATATGTACTGCAATTTTAAGGAAAAATGAGATGATACAGCTACTCTTAGTCTGAAATAGTAAGTCATCACATGTTATGAGACAGAAGTCAACACAAAGTTGCAGTGGTGCACATGCATGCAGCATACCTGTATACTAGAAGAACATCGATCAACCTAGCTCTTGCTTACGACCCAATGACCTAGCGTCGGTGTAAGGATGTTCCTCTAACACAAAGATATTTCGGCAGACCAGGACTCAAATCATAACGGCAATTTACGAGATAAAAAGACACATTTCCGGTGGCTGTGTGACACTATGCCACACTTTCATTCACAGCTGATAGCTTGGGTGATCCGATTCTGTAATGGGGGAGGAGGTGCAGAATAAATACTGGATCGTAACAATACCCGACGTAAAATCAACCTAAATGCAAGTCATATCTAATCTATATTTTATCAAAAAGTCAAACTGTCGATGTAGGTTATGGATACATGTACAGATTACTTTTCTAAATATTATTAGGATATCCCCTTTAAAAATAATGGTATAATCTAAAAATAGCAGCTTATTTGCAAACATCATTGCAGGTTTGGATATAAATGTTCATACTCATCATACTCATGACATCTTTTTGCCTGTATGAATTATATATCTTATATTTAATTGTTATGGTTGTTAATTTCTTTTGTAATGTCATTTGTTACATAATAATGGACAGTAAGAAAATATCGGCTGCTCGAATCGTAGATGGTGAATTCACGGTTATGCTTTAGCCTACTTTTCCCTCAGGTTCCAGAAATACTACTTGTTGACGTTTTCGTCTTTTCTGTGCCAGGTAGGGCTTCTTCTACATCTGTGATCAACAGAACTAACCTGGAACTGTAAAGGGTTAGTGCAAGAAACCAAAAACGTTTTCTCGTTTTGTATTTCACAGTTTCAACAGTTGTTCGTAGAGTTTTCGCGCATTACAAATATGGGGAGGGGGGCAATTTTTTGCACGTTTTAGAAACACTTCACCTATATGATTTTTAGACCAGCTGCATTTTCCCATATCTATCTATTTATTATTTCTGAGAGCGGGAAAAAGACATTGAGTGCATTTATTTCGGCGTAGCGGTTGCGTTGATTGCATATGTGAGGAATTTTATTACATCTCAATCAATGTTTGAATTCAAAGTTATGTTTTGTTGTCACCACAGCTCTTCACCTGAAGTTTCACCATGATTGAAGTGACGTGTAATGATCGACTGGGGAAGAAAGTCAGGGTCAAGTGCAAGTATCCTTTTGCCTGTAAAGGAATTGATGTTGCATTCATTATATTTTCTTCAGTTGGGCTGCTGGGCGATTGATTACATGTCCAATACATTGTACATGCAACTGAAAGAACATCAAAATAGTCTTAAGACGATATGAGAACTTGCCTACTTATGTCCAGTACTGAAGTAAACAGATCTTTTTAAAATTTCTGCTCTTCAAATATTTCTCAAATACTTTCTCTTCACTTTGTTGTAAAATTTTTCATGAATATAGAATGCCCCTTCAAGTGCATTTTATGGCCTTGCACATGTCCACATGAAGTTCCTTAACCAGCCTTCAGCACTGATGATACTGTGGGTGACTTGAAGAAATTGGTAGCAGCTCAGACAGGAACAAGATGGGAGAAAATAGTGCTCAAGAAATGGTGAGAATATATCATAAATCGCTGGCTACTGTCACCTTTTGTATTTTTTTCTGATTCTTTTTCCCTATACTAGACCTGACCTGTTTCTTTGTGTTTCAGGTACACAATCTTTAAGGACCACATCACATTGGGAGATTGTATCCTTTCCTGCTACATGTATTTCATCAAGTGTCATAGTGTAGCTATCAAATGGTCCTCTGATGATATTATGACTAAGGAAAATGACTTGGGTTCAAATTAGGTCTAATTGGAAGTCCAACTCAACTCAATCCACAGCATCCACCACTGCTAAGCTTATGTCTATTGTAAATGTTGATGTCTTTTTTTCTTCCATCAATATTTGTATTTGTTGTTTGCCTCCTTGACCCTCTTCTCAGATGAGATCCATGATGGAATGAACCTGGAGCTGTACTACCAGTAGTGGAGAGACAGAGGGCGCTTTTTCATTTCTCATCATTTCTAGTGCAGATTGATCATGTAACCTGGGCTTGTGGGGAAGGGTGGGTGTAGTAGACCAGGCCACTTATATCAGTACTGTTCAGTTCTCTGCCTTTTGTATTACCTGTTTTCTCAGCAGATACATGTTGAAGCCACAGCTAAAATATTAGAAATTTAGGAGGGAACTCCCAATGCTTTCCTATCAGCCTTAGATTACTTTTATTGGTGTGAAGGGCAAGTCTGACCAGTGCTTATTAAAAACATCACACATGATATTACATGTAAATAATGGCATATCATAACACATTTTACGCATTCATGTTGAGCTGTGGACATCACAATTATTTTTCCTACTGAAAAGTCATTTTGGCTGTTCTAGTTTATGGTACATGTAGCTGTTGACATAGGAATGTTCTTAGAATGGCACAATAACTTATTTGAGGTAAAGGGTGAAATTTACAAAATGGAGAGGACAGTAAACTTATGTATTAGATCAGATGCAACCTTTCCTATGCTGCAGACATGCTTTAGTCTAGATGCATGATGATATGGTTTCATTAGTCCACTATTGTAGACACTTCAGTCCTGTCTGATGATATTAGGAAAATGATATTAGGATACATGTACCTTTGGCATTTCCTTCAATAAAGAATTTCATTTTGTATTGTGTGGCGTAGAATTGTAGTGTTTAGTTACCTTTTTCATACATAGCTTCACAAGCTGTGTTTTTCTTCCTATATCAACAAAGAGACTGACAATGCTTGAGGCACAACTCTTTTATTTACAGAAATGATGGAAGCAGCATAATACATTATCAGTTTCTATGGTTTGACTGGTAGTGTCACACATCTCATTGACGTTTCATTGAGGTTTGGAAGTAGCAGAATACTGTTATTAAACTGAAAGTATGCAACATGCCTCAAATATTTTCACGATTTCCTACCATAAATTCACAGCTGTAAATCACCACATAAGGATCTTGAAATCATACTGAAATGCAATATGTGAAGATATATAGCCTATACAGCATTGTTATTTGAGCATCAAGTCTTCAAGTAGTATCTTCTGCAAATTGTGGGTGTGTGAGTTGAGGACTGTATGTTAAATAACTCCAGACTCCTTCAGCTTGGCCACCAGCTCCTCTGTGGACTCCACCTTCTGCCCTGCCTGTCTGACAGGAGGGTCCTCCACACTCACCACCTCCACGCTGGAACCCAGGTCCACCCCGAAGTCTGACGCCTTGTGCTTGGCGATCTTCTTCTTCTTGGCCTTCATGATGTTGGGGAGGGTGGCGTAGCGGGGCTCGTTCAGTCGCAGGTCTGCTGTGATGACTGCCGGAAGGGTGACCGTAACTGTCTCCAGACCACCGTCAATTTCCCTGACAACCTGTGATTGATAAAAAAAATGAGTAAAGAAACCATATCTAAGATTCACGACTTGACTACGATAGGGTTGTGAATGATGCAGTGAAATACTAGTACCTAATTGGCCATTGTCACAGAGTAACAATGTAAATGTAAAGTTATTTTAGATAACAAAGGATTTAGGTACAGCCTACTCTAATTGAACATGACAAAGAGGTCATACCTTCAGATGTTCATTTTCCTTTGTGACCTCTGAAGCAAAGGTTGCCTGTGGCCAGTCTAGTAGAGCTGCTGTCATCTGTCCTGTCTGGTTGTTGTCTCCATCAATGGACTGTGAGGAAAAACCATCATCGTTCAACAACAGGAGATGGGGCAATTTTCAATCTTACATAAGTTCTGTAAATTCAAGTTGCACTTTTCTTGAGAGAGCATTCCACAATAGCTGTGCCAGTGTGATTTAGCTCTTAATTAAGATTTCACACAATTCACACATCCATATTCTATGATAGATCAACAGAATTTTTGGCAATACATGTACTGTACTGTACCTGTTTTCCAAGAATAACGAGGTTGGCTTCCTGCTCCTGAGCCAGCTTGGCAAGAATCTTGGAGACATGAAGCGGTGTCATGTTCTCATAGTCCTGAAAAAATGACAACAGTAACAACGTCAACCTGATCGCGATTGTTATAAGTTTGTCATGTGAACAACTTGTTCCATGCAAGTTAAGATAGCTGCATGGATACACTTTGTTTGATGAAATTTTTTTTCTTTACAAAGTTTTGCTACTTAACAGCTACAGGATACCAAAAAAGTCAAATACGGTCATCAGGGGATTCAAATTGTATGTGTCATCACTGATCACCATAACATCCGACATCACAGCCAGTGAAGGGTAGGCATAAAGCAGGTTGTCATTGCCATCCAATAATTTCAACTTGCTTATGCCTGCTGACAAAAACAGCAATCGCAGGTATGATGTCAAATTATAGACGTTAAGTCTTCATAGCTTGTTCTTACCTTTCCTGACACCTCTACATGGATGCCCCTGTCAGCACCCATGGCCAGGGCTGTCCTGATGGTCTCCTGGGCCTGGGTAGGGCCACAGCTCACGGCAATGATCTCCTTAGCCAACTTCTTCTCCTTTAACCTGTGAGGGGGAGGATTGTACAAAAAACAGTCATCTACACAGTAGCTGCCATCGTGATACAAAACACAGGTGAGCAAAAGTCCAGGGTTATACCGGTTTGAACTGGTTTATAATTTGGATCATCCTGCCAACTACATTGTACGAGACAGCCTGTCGCTACAGAGAACCCAATAAGATAAGAAAATCATGGGTGTAAGCAAGAAATAAATTTCGTAATCATTGACTGAAATAATCTGTTAACCACTTAAATTTGTGTATGATTTTTGTAAGCCATGAAACCGCCCCCCTCCCTCTCGCGTACGATTTTCACCCAGTGCCACCGCAAGGTCACTCCGCCCAGGTGAGCCTTCCAGGCGCCGTGTCCTCACCTGACGGCCTCCTCCATGGCAATTTCACAGAACGGGTTCATCGAGTGTTTGACGCCATCGGTAACGACCCCGGAGTTGTCGGGTTTGACGCGGATTTTCACCGCGTAGTCGATCACTCTCTTCACTCCCACTAAGATTCGAAGATTCGCCATTTTGCTCAACCGGGTGCGAAAACCGCATCCAACCAACCTTATTAGAAGATCCAAAAGACATATTAAAATGTATTGAATAATCATGTATTGAAAATATGTTATTTTTATCATGTAAAAATTAAATGATTCGGAACAATGATCTTACTTGATATTCAAGGACATTAAAGACGTATTTCTAGTTTGCTAAATATTATTTGTTACGTTAGTTTGTGATGAGGTTACCTAAGGTTATGACGTGTGGGAACAATCTGCGCATGCCTGATAACCCCCTGACCCCGATTTGACGTTCCTACACAAATTTTCGACATGAAACGTTACAAGTAACACGTAACATCTTTGTTCCTTAAAACCAGAGTTCTCAAGACGCAGTGAAGCAAGTAGAAGACAACTTCAAGATCTATCAGACATGGCAGAAGCGTCGGCAGCGTCTACAACTACCGAGGTAGAGGTGGAAGGAGAAAGAGTAAGTCGAGAATCTAGAATCCAACAAACGTTTAATACAGCTTCATGTAATAATTTTTTTCCGGAAAAATGTAAAATATTCAAGGTCTATCGCTTATTTGTAACCAAAGTCACTACCCAATGTATACTTAATTAGTGTTTATGTACATGTATAACCATATACATGTACATGCCAAGGTGACGTTATATACAGTGTACAAGATATACACTTACCTTACCTTCATCTTCATCTTTGCCGGGGCTCAAAGATGTTATGTGAGCCCCGGCTACACCCCCATATAGCCCCTGATGGGGCACCTTAGGGGGGAGGCCTTGGTCTAAGGCGGGCAGGCCTCCAGCCTGGCCCGGAAGGACTCAACGGTGGGAGCCATAACTACCGGGCCAGGCAAACTACCGGGCCAGGCAAACTACCTTACCTACATGTACAACGTTTAAAACAGTATCTAACGTTATATGCTTACTGATTTGAAAAATATGTCTTTCCTCCTGTAGCATGAAGACCAGGTCAGACTAAGACTGAAGAAACCACACACTGATAAGAAGGTGAAGTGGGAAGAAGGCACAGTGGACAACGAGCATATGGATAAGAAGAAATCCAAGTGTGAGTTTGTATCTTAGACCAAGGAGGTTTATTTTACAGTGTATGGAGTTGTTTCAACAACTTAGGTAAAAGATTTACACCATTGTTTGGAATTCAGTTGTAAGGATTGTGTAGCCTGGGTGCCATCTGATTTGTAACAGCAAACCTGAAAAAATGTTACAAATCAGATGGGACTCAAGCTAAGGATTGTGATGTTGTATCAAAATATTGATTAGATCGTTACCCCTACTTGATCAGGTTGCTGTATCTACCACAAACCCCGCAAGTTTGGTGAGAGTTCGTCAGAAAGTGAAGGTGATGATGATGATTGTCTGTTCCACCACCACGGCCACCGCAGCAGGAGAAAACACCATCATCATCATCACGATCAGGAGAACAAGGATCCCGCAGATGGTAGGACAAAAACTATGGAACATTTTGTGTCTATTTTGTCCAAATCATATACATGTATATAATTTTACTTGTGTGAATACCAAACACTCCTATCTTGTCAAACTGGTACCACAATAATCATATTCTCATGTTTATCTCTCAACCACAGGATCAGAACCAGGGCCTTCCGGTGTGGAACCAAGCTAAAACACATGTAGATTGTGCAGAAGTCAAGTAAACTCCTATATTCTGTACTAAAGATTGTGATTCAACCAGCAGTAAAAGTTTGGTACAGTGTACATGTATTTATTATGAGGTACACATTGTGAATAGAAGTTGATTGGATTGCAAGATTTTGTGATGCTCAAATGAACTTGTATGTAATGTTGAAAAGAACGTATATATCTAAGTGACAGTCACATGCTAAGTGTTGATGCATCATTGACACACAAGACAAAGAATGATAAAAATAGTATAGTTTTATTAAGTTGCATCTCCTGTATTTGTATCTTTTTTGTGTCAAATTTTCTTGTTAAGCCTCATCATATCCAACAAAAATAGACTATACATGTCATTTGGCCATTACACTATGGTGGAAGACTGTGTGTGGATTACCGGTATGTAGAAGGCCCACTTTAGGAGATTTTATGTACAAGGCCCATTGCATAAGTTCATAATAAACCTGTTTTATCTCTCTGCATCATTTTTAATTTATGTACTCCTACTAGCACATACAGTAGTGCAAGCCATCTGAGTTGGACAATGTTTGTACATTGGTGTGTCTTGACAACATAATATACAGAAAGAAGCTGGATGACACAAAGACTATGACTGATCATCAGGCCCAACATGCACATAATAATATCTCAAATGTTGTATCCATGACTTTGTGAACATTGCTGAGTTGTGTCCAGTCTTGATGCAACATGACATGAAATCAGTCTTTCCTGCAGCTGAGGTGATCAGGAGTATTCTGTCTCGTTAAATCTGTAAAATGGTGAACAAGTGGCAGATTAGAATCAAGAAAACAGATGACAAAGGACAAAGCTCAAATGAAGAAATGCTTTGGTTTTGGTTATGGCAGACTGCCATCAGCTTCAGCATTGTTGTGCAAGCATGTCTAACCCTCCGAAGACGAGGGACAACAGATGCTAGCTTTAGTACTCCTATATTCAGTTGTACTCTCATACGGATAGTGAGTGTGAGTGAGTGTAAACTAGTATAGGGTATGGCTGTATCAATGACAACCATGTGCCCCACCCACCTGCAGCGAGGACAGCCGTAGAAGACAGTTTGTCCCTCGTCAGCCGAGCGTGTCTGTCTGGTGGTGTAGGTCATCCCTTCATGGCCACATTTGGGACACTTTCGGTCCACCTATATGATAAGAAGAGAGTTAGAATAGTTAAGATCCTTCCCACAACTTTCAGTGTAGACTGACTACAGCTCTTGGGACAAGACAGTTGTGCAAGCACTACACCAGCAGGGAGTTAGTGCATTGGTAGAACAGGATGATAACTTCTCTGGGTCATAAGTGGGAAGTACAAATGTATGTGACAGTATTGAATCTTAGAAATACCACTGCAGTTCCAAATCTAAGCTTTTTTGTCATGTTTATTTGTAGCCCCATATGAAAGCAATTGTGTAGTTTCCATTATGCTACAAAAAAATATTGAACAGTGCAAGGACGTTTAAAATCTTTGATTTTAAACCTTGACAATGCAGATGTGTCTGTGAATTACCAGTGGTCCTGATGTGTCCTCTGTTGGTCTGTCTTCCTTCTTGGCTGTCTCTCTTTTGTTGAAAACAATGCGGGACTTGATTTCAACTCCATCAAACTCTAAAAGGAAAACAAGATCAGCTTGTAAGACAAGAAGCCATAATAAGACTAATGAGGATTACGGCCGGGATTTTTGTTTGTTAAACAATAAATCATCACAAATCTTCCTCTTATATAAAATCTATATTATACATCGTACATATTATGATTTAAAAAAATACAATTTATGATTCATAACTACTTAAATTCACAACTTTGCATTCACTTCTAACTACTTTTGAAAAAGAACATTTGTCTTATTAATGCATGTAATTTTTAAGGCCCCCCTCCCACTGTGCACGTGTCTTAGCACAGGTATGGACATGTACTTCATGCTTCGATCCGGATCAAAGCCAATCCATTCGGCTCGATCCGGACAACTCTATCCTCGTGGGGAAAGGCCCATACAGTGTATATTAGTGTAGTTTTTATATACCTCTCACATCCACCTGGTACGCACACAGCTGACAGGTGACCACATCCTCTCTGCCTGGGAGGGGCAGGATAGAGCCGCAGTCCGGACAGAAGTCCGCCTCGCTAGCGAAGGCTGATCGCTGGATTCCGGATCCAGACATCACTGACACACCGCTGACTGACGCGTAAGATCTGTCTGATCGTCAAGTTGCCCACAGAAGGGTAGCTTTTCAGTGTTGTTACTCTAGCTCTTGCGTACTCGTGTACATGTACATGTGTTTCCTATCCCGGAACCGGAAGTGACGTAAGACCGTACTCTCCAAGCAGAGGTTTGGGGTTTGGGGGTATTTTTGGCGTGTTTTTAGGCTTCTTTTACCGGGGTTTCTTTTGTGCAAACACAAGAGAAAATAACCCAAACCTCTGCTCGGAGAGTAAAGAAGGAACCACAAGGCAGCGAAATACAGCCTTTGACGTGACATTTTTGCCAATCGGATGGATAACATCAGCGCGCGCACTAATTTTCGCCTAATTTGGGGGGAAAAAATAAATTTTATTGCCCTCTGATAGTGGTCAACATTAATCTCCAAGCAGATATCATATGGTGTCAAAAAGACAGTATCAAATTGGCCAGGCGGGATCCATTGGCCAGAGTGGGTCCACTTCGCCACCAACCTCTGCTTGGAGATAGTCAACATGCCGAAATGGGCAAATATGGCTCTTCTTAAACATTTATTTAATACATATATATTGTATTTTTGACAGTGTTCCTGCTTCGTAGTTGCTATGCCGTAACGTGGATGGCAGATGGATATGAACAGAGGAGACAAGGCTCAGATTTTTTTTTTTTTTACTTTCATGCGCAGCAGTGATGTATTTTATTCCTTTTATATGTGATGGAGGCTCTGTATATCATACTATATGTGATGTGCTCACTGAATGATTTGTAAGATGATTGAAAACCTTTATTTTTCAAAGTTGTTTTAGTGAGAAATGGATGTAACATGTTGTAATACATGTAGTTGGCATTAAACAGGTTCATCATTTCTTGGTTAACAAGGTTTATAATGTCAAAATTTGAAAATGTAGGAATCTTACAAGTTACTTGACTACAGGCTATGGTGGAAAAATTGCACTATGATCATCCCGCGCTTTGAAAAAAGTGAGCCCTGAGAGCCCTGAGCCAGGCATTACCTGAACTCAATGCTGGCGATGGAAGGATATTTAGATGGACTGGACTGGAAGGACCGTGGGGAAGAAGAAGTATATCAGCAAGGAAGGACTGGAAAGGACCGGAGAACTTACGGTACTCACGGTGCGGTACCGAAGGAACAGAGCTGGGGCTGACAGACGATGATGCCCTCGCTCGTTTAAATTCAACAAGAAGCCATAGGCGACAATCCTCTGTGTACTGTAGTGTTGAATAATGTAATCATTTGTCTAATTAAATTGATCCAAATGAAAAATGGCTACAAAGTGTACGTTCTTTTTATTGCATATCTACTTACTACATGTCTACATCATAAAGATTACAAAATTGTGCAGCTTTCGTGATCACTTACAAAAAGCAATTCTGACCTATAAATTCACTAAGATAAAAAGATATTAAATCATTACAAACTATATTACAAATCAGTGATATACAAGTTGTCACATTGTGCTGGTACATGGTGTGGTGAGTTGTAGGGTGTGACAAGAAAATCACACGTCCATCAATATAATATCAAAGTTGTCATACCATTTGACATAAAGATCTTACAAAATGTCAGCATCTATGTGCATTATCACATCAAATATTTTACAGGCAATTAAACAGTGGGTTGATTGATTGACTGATTGACTGATTGATTGATTGGTTAATTGATTGATTGATTGAATGATTGATTGATTGATTGATTGATTGGTTAGAAAAAAAGTTCACTTTGGCAAATGATGATCTACTTTGCAAAAGCTAATGTACAGCATAGCAAACTCCGTTTCCTACACATACCAACTCAGAGAGTAAACATATTATACATGTATGTTCGCCTAGTAACTTAGTTTTAGTTTCTCTGTCTGACAGAACTTGCACAGATCTAGACTCATTTCTTGGTCAAGGGTTTGTTTTTCAGTCCTACTTTCAATAATTGACCGTACAAGCAACATGCCGAATATTTGTTTGAACGTACTTACATGTACAAGGTGTTTATAAGATAAGTTACGTCGTAAAGTAACGTTTGCTATATAAACAGCCAGGTGGTACAGAGTCGTCTGGCACACGTCCAGAATCTACACAACTTGTTTATTAATGGTCTCCTAACACGCCTGGGGAAACAATAGCTTCCCTGACATTGGTATTTGGTAAACATATAATAAGATATACTGTCTGAGTTGGGTCTTTTGTTGTCTCGGTATCCACGGACACTATTTTTCAAAGGTTATATCTTACAATGCAAGTGGTGAGTTTCGTGGTTGTGCGGTTGCCCCGTTTCCAAGCCCTATGGTTTCCATGGTTTCCTAGATGCTGCCCATTTCATCTGCTGCATGTCCTTCAATAAATCCTCCACCTCAGTGCCGTGATACTGGCTCTGCTGCGGCGCCTTCCCTTCAAGTATCGGGATCTGCTGCACTTCCGGCGCGAACCGCGTGTGGCGCTCCTCCACGGTGCCGTTGGGGTGGCCGAGCGGGGCCGGTCGTCCCGAGTGTTGCCGGGAGGAGAGCCGCTGGGACGTGTTGGACTTCTGCGTGGAGGACAGGCGGGGGGACGACAGGTGCTCCATGACTTCGTTGATTGTGTCCAGTATCACAGGAATGAGGCTAACTGTAGAAGACAGATGTAACAGGGACATACTCATCCATCTCATCTTCATTACCCTTTTCTCAGCAAGGGATCTTTGTAGTACTCTCCAAGCAGCAGGTTTGGATTCTGGCTTATTTTTGGCGTGTGCTTAGGCTATTTTTATCGGGATGTCTTTTTTGCACTGTTTTCGCGTTAAAAGATTCCAGTGCAAAAAAGGAAAGCACGATAAAAAAAAGCCTAAAATACGCCAAAATCAAAGCCTCTGCTTGGAGAGTACACACTGTAGCTGGTATAAAGTTAGTATTTCAAAATTCAATTAATGTAATTATAATTAGTTTGATTTGACACGCCGATGATTTAACTTTGAAAAACTGATTACAAACATTTCGCATCGTCGACGATAATCGAACGTTCAGCGCTGACTACTTTTCCCATTTTAACATTTCCCATTCAAACGGCTACTTTGAACATCAGGGCAAGTTCTTTTTCTAGCAGTTCATCCAATCCTAACCGAGTCTATGACCTACCCACACCGCCGAAGTAGTTCCTGGCCTCGTCACAGCTGAGGTGGTTGACCTCTCCGTGCGGGAAGGTGACCCTGACGTTGGCGCAGTCGTTGTGGATGTTACAGAGCGTGCGCCACTTGGCCAGGGAGTTCCGCAGACCCTGGTTCCTGTCCAGCTGCTCTCGGACCATGTTGTGACCCTCTACCTGTGGGAGAGATGACGAAAGGACGTCGTCTGTTTAATTTTCAACTTACAAGTTTCATATTTGCCACATACATGTGCACCCTTTTCTCTATAATGGCACGGAAACACGTACCAAAACACAGGGCATAGGACTCAGTTGCTTTATATCTTTTCCATCTGAAGGATTCTAATCTCATCTATCCTTTAGTTTAACCATTTGGCCGTTAGGTCATCACAGAAGATCTAACGTTGTGTACCTCAGTGTAACTTACCACCCACCCCCACCCCCCATCTTTTCCTTTACCCTCTTCTTCCCTGGACTGTTCCTTCAGTGATAGTTTTAACGTCTTAAGTTACCCCGTTTCGCTATGAAACAAGGCGCCGCTGGAGGTTACAATGCATCTTCCAAACCATGCGCAGTGTTCTTTTTCGCGGAAGAGAGTCTCTTTCTTTACCTGTTGCCTGAATCTGTCCAGATCCCGGCACATATCCACGAACAGCATGAGGATCCTGCGGTCCGTGGCGCTGTGGACGGCGTGATCCAGCCAGCCCAGGATCTGGTTAATGGAGCGGACAACGGCCGTCTTCTGGAAGGCGTCGGTTCTGTTGGAGGGACGGTTTTTTTTTATGTATTGATCATGACAAACAAATCGATTTTGGACGTAGAAGGGAATGTATTGCAGTGTAATGTTGAACAGGCTAGGTTAAAATTGTCAACTCTAGCTATTTATCTCATCCTTTATCTACCTTTATCCGGATTGGCATAATCGCTAACAGCCCTAAAACCATAGATTTCATTTATTGAATCTCTTGCTGGTGAAAAATGAGTTAGAGGGATAATAACTCATTTTTTACACAAGTATATGATAAATAATTAAGTTTATAGTATGAAAAATTACTGCACAACCTTTTGTCTTACTTCGTCTTTTGGCATCTTTTATAACTACGGATACTAACTATATAATTGTGCTAAATAATAAGGTGTAAATAGTCTCCCTCACCTGGCCCTGTCTAACGCCTGTGTGAACGTCTGCTGCTGCTGACTGAACACCTTGTACCGCTGCTGGAACCGCTTCAACTGCCGCTCAAGGTCGTCCATGGTCGATAGGCTTCAACAGGAGCTCCTGGAAGGGAGAAAATACTGTGGACGTTTGTTTGGCGAAGTCCGTCGACCGTCATAAAACGTTAGCCCCTACCAGGCTTCGGGAAGCGGCTGGAAAGAATAGAAATAGGCCAAAGACAGATGATATGCCAGGGGAGTTTGTCCGCCCAAAGAGAACAGTTTGGGAGCGGTAAACTGTTCTTTTAGCGCGGACGAACTCCCGTCTATTATCTGTCTATTTGTCATATTTCTACTCATTTCAGTCGCTTTCCGAAGCCTGGTAGAGGCTATTAGAACGTCGCACAGGACGTGACGGCCCTTCGAAACCAACCAATGCCTCAGCTACAGACGCTGGAGATTGTATCCATGGTTACGGATCGATCTCGTACACAGGGTTCCTTGGCGGTGACATATGGTCCTGACCCGAGGTCGCCTACGTTCCGTATCCAGGTAAAACGACAGCAAACACACAGACCAAACGTTTGCACAGGACTTCTACCTCATACCCGGCATGATTACCGCAGTGTGCGGTCGTCTGACTGGATTTTAAAGGACCCCCTACTCTTCTGTTGATAGAGTTATGCCATGTCGAGAAAGGTAGTTTATCCTGACATTGTTTAATTGACACCTAATATTAAGTCAAGTGGACCAAAGAGCTGGAGGTTAATCTTCTAGAATGGACACACACTATTGCTTACGCATTGGAAACTATAAGTCAGCGAACACCCGAACCTTCATAAGGCATACTTATGCTGTCAGCGAGAGTGCATTTTGGCAACCTTGCTCCTCGCTCTCTCTAAAACCAAACAGAGCCATAGTAAGGTCTTACGGACGTAACCATAGATCGGCCATAAGAAATACCAGCCAGTCTAGGTACGCGAAGGCCGTAACGTGTATGTTTAAATCCCGTGAACGGTTTTGAAATATGGGTTAATTGCGGTTTATTGTTGACAGAAGGCGGCAGCTAAAACCTTTCCCACGTCGAGTGTTTGTCGGTCAGGTGTGTCTGTCGACTCAGGCATGGAATCACGGCGTACAGGTGGACTCTGTCTCACACAGGAACGCTCACTATAATCTCCAAGCAAATTCACAGACGAACGTTCATGTAGCTGCGGGGGGTTCGTTAAAGGCATCCAATGCAGTTTTTAGGGCTTGCAAACCAGATTTTTCAAAGTCAATATTGTCACTTGTCCACATCCAAGCTCAGACAACACTACCCTAATGTATATCGACATTCTTGGAGCAAAAAGGCCCATAATTTTGACCAATAAAAATGGTTACTGGAAGGATCCCTGGTTGAATAAGGACTCATCTTGGGCTTGTTTCTGCAAGTCCCAGGTATGAAATACTGATCCAAATGAAATGTGCTAATGTGGTGCTGTATGTGTCATAGATTGCCTTATTCAGAATACTTCCAGTTTTGCAATGGGTGTCTTTAAATAAAGACAGGGATGTGTTACTAGTACTTGGGACTGACGGGGAAATCTTATTGTTGATTCTGAATGATTTATGGCTGTTAGTTTGACCCCACTTGTTGAGGTTACCGCTATGTCAGACAACGATGTGATTGGACAGGTGCACAGGTGTAATAGATATATTGGTGTATATAAGTCTGTGTATATGCGTCCCTGTTTAGCTAGTTACTATGTAGGCCTGAGTAACAAAAGTGAATCTCACTACATACAAGCTAATGATGGCTTTTAAGACTTGTTTTGAAACGCAAAAGAGCAATCCGTAAATTACCTACAACTTTGTTAGGTGGATTTGTAAAGATCATAATCTACTCCCACAAAGGTAACAAAAGGCCTTCGCTGAGCGAAAAGAGATCTTATAACAAACGTCACAGTAGACTTGCATTCTAGGCATGCATGGCATTTTGTTCTTTCTCCTGCTATTGTTATAATTCTGTTGTTGAGTCTCCTGTTTTGTTTGTCTTTCTCAAAGCATGCTTTTGACCATCGTCTTTAGGATAAGTTGTTTTAGAACAGAGAAGGAAAAACTAAGTTTTGTTGTTGTTACCCTCGTATTTTTTTTCCCAGTTGAAGTACCGGTTTTTTAAGAACAGAGTTGTGTACGAACTGTTTGTGTGGTTGAGGCCGAGCCTGTGACCTCGCCCTTGACTTTGTTGTTTGGCTACCCAAGACTAGTGTTTGTGTTTCTGCAACCAGGCGTGTAGGGGCCTCGGCTCACGGGGCAACACGGCATCACGGCGAAAACACCTGTTGGATTCCAGTCGAGATGAAAGAGGGGACATACACGTCACATGTCTCCTGATACGGTGGAAGAAATTCTCAGTCTTTCGGTATTTCAGTAATTAAACTAGATCGTCTTGTTTTTCGAGGATAATCTACATAAACATATCACTTTTCCCCATGTAAACAATGTTCCCGTATCCTTTCATGCCATCAACCTTCGTCTTTCTACACTCTTTTTTTTTGTTGCTAAATTCACAGTTTAATGAAGAGTTGGAAATACTGAAGACTCGAATATCAAAGGTTTCCGCCCTTCCAAAGTGTCCCCACTGTTACGCGACACGAACTAGACGTGCAGTACGGATACAGACAGGGGTTGACAAGTAAACAAACATGACAAGAACCAAAACAACCACCTGGCATCCCTCCACGCCAAACGGTGTTGTCTCAGCAGGCAACAATATCACACTCTTATAACGCTGAAGCGGATATCATTGCTATGGCAATATTGTGCTACGGGGTTGCAAATAGGCCAAGTAAAATGCTATGTTTATACAGTACAATTTTTAGGACATTTTAAGTATGTTCGGTTTTGGAAAGAAAACCCTAAGCGTACGTACAGCCTGGCAACCATGCGTAGCCCACATGTGTTCCGAGAAAACCATCCCTTCTCATCTTTTTCATGATAATTTTTCGATGGGAAGACAAAGACAGAGTAATTAGAATGATGATTAGAAATCTCGATGGTCAACTTTAAAAATCGGGCCATGACGTCACAGACGTCTTCACGCGTGGTTAGGCACTTAAGTGAGCTTCTTGAACGCCTCAGGTGAGAACTTAACACACTCCTGCCCTTACTCGGACACGTAAGGATCTCTTAGAGGCTCGAAGTGTTTTTGATGCCTTACACATTGCGTGGGACAAGTGGGTGTACGAAAAAGAAACATCAAGTGGACTTTTGAACTACAGAAAGAAGTGTAAAAAAATTGTGAACTGAGAGCAAGTTTGAAACGATTTCCCTGAGCGGATTGCAGTGGATTAAAACGATATCCGATGAAAACATTGTGGCGGTTTCTACTGCTCTGTTTATGTTTCCACAGCCGACTACAAAGCGTGTAACGTCCACTTGAGGGATCGGCTGATAACACCAAACAAACGCTTGTGAGTCGCCAGGCTCTAGTAGAACACAGAATCTGTTGCTGAAAACATTCGCTAATGCGCACAACTTAATCGACAAACAAGACTTTAGACTTACTTTTGGTCAAGCTAATCCTGTTCTGTGTACTGGTGATCTCAGTAAACCTAGTTTTGCTGACTATGGTACTCAGTGTTGGTCTCTTGCATCGATCGGCCACTTTGGCCTAGTAAATTCGATTCCTCGGGCATATTGATGGACTTTGTTGTGTGACTACACGACGTTAACATTCCTCTCTTCACTTCAGTTTCCCCTGTTGGTAAAAATCACCCCCGGCACACAGAATAAACAAGATGTAACTAATTTTAAACGACGGACTTAAATTACTAACATGAATGAATACTCTTGCTTATGACTCAAATCCCCCATATACCTGGTTCACAAAACCCGACATGTGGCTTTTGTGCCCGTTGCTGGGTTAGTGGGAAAAGAGCGTAAGGTAATAATCCATAGCAAAGAGTGTGGGACTGTTAGACTAGAGATAACGTGTTTTCATCATGAGAAAGTAGGTTTACCTCCTCCGGGAGTCCGCACAATGGAACAAGTGTCATGTTTGTGAGGTAAACTCCAACACAAGAACCGTAAACACGGCAAACCAGACACAGTAAACAGGTCGACAGCACGTCTGACTACGGCTAGGGGCTGGGGACAGACGTTTACGCTGTCATGTTGTGGGACAACTCTAGCCTCTACCAGGCTTCGGGAGGCGACTGGAAACAGTAGAAATCGGCCAAATAGAGAGATAACATGCCAGGGGAGTTGGTCCGGTAGAGAAAACTACTGTTTGCCACACCCGACCAACTCCCCTGGCATGTTATCTTTCTATCTGGCCGATTTCTACTCTTTCCAGTCGCCTCCCGAAGCCTGGCAGGGGCTAGGACAACTCAATACACATGGTGCTGGATCTGCTAACCTGTTGTCTGCCACGGGGTGGGATTATTTTCGGAGATAATTACACCCTAATTATCCAATATAATGAATCGTGAATTCCTGTTCAAGTGTCAAAAGCATTATCGTCATTAATCAGAAGACAAAACCGTCATTCACACACCGTTACGACTTTTTGGAAATGAAGTGTGAAACTTAAGGAAGAAGCTTAAGAGTTGGTTCAACGCTGACTTGTGCCACGTTGTTGCTAGGACGTCCGATCCATTCATACATGTAACCCTGTTGGGCATGACTAGTCGACTAAAAACAAGGCGCCCATTGTACAGCACAGGTGAGCATCGCCCGAACTACATGACTGAGCCTTGCCCATACTTCTGGGCTCTCACAAGTTTTACAAAGTAATACCGTAATAACATGATTATATACCACTCAAAATCGTGGTAAAACATAAGAAGAGAAGTTAGTGTGTGTCCATTAAAACTCACCTGTATGTGAGAAGGCGGCGAGTCAGGTGTAGGTGTTCGAGTGTTTCTCTCGGCACAACTTCCGCAACTGTACACACAAGCGTGCCAAGTCCAGGCCAAAGTCCCGGCGATCTGTACACAAACACCGTACAACAGACACCCCTGGTTTCGTCCCAGAAGTAGAACAAGGAGTAGAATTAGCGGAATACTTTGGAGACTGGCTTAGAAGTGTACCCGAGCGCTGAGCACTGTTCACCGTAGCTGGCGGGCCCAGGTCATACCATTGTAAATTGGCAGGGGCATGAAAGGGGGGTTGATTATCGCATAGCAACGGTTGCCGTGGACGCCGTGTTACGGCGAAGGGATGGATTGCAGTTGGCCGACAGGTAATATGGGTACAGGTAACCCCATACCTGCCCCGGGGCATATTATCCCCGCACAGACAGAGTCAGTATATGGTGTGCTGCGTTCTGAATGGCTCATTTTTCTCCGCTCAAAAAAAGTTACATGTTTTCTAGCCTTCTCTGTGGCAAAGACAATTGAAGCGTATAGACGGCCGGTCAATTAAGCCATCGGTGGAGGTCTGCACCTTTTGTCTTTAGTGTACGTGGGGGTTATGTCAATACAAACTGAAAGAAAAGTATGTAATAAACAGTCCTGACATCCCAATGCGCGTGGATGACGGCGCACTCGGGACAGTATTGAGTAAATCAAGAGGCATATTGTGTAGGAAAGGACCTATTCACTGACAACCTTATCATTTATAAGTGATATCCTTAATCTAATGAAAACGATCACAAAGAGTGTTTCGGTGAACTGGGTCATCTTGGAAGGAACGTTGCAATGTGGATTTTTAAAGGCCCTAATGGGGAAATCTACGTGCAAGAGAATGGGATAATTGAGCAACCACCTGTGAAATTAGTTTGGCTATACTGTTACATCGAGCTCAGACGAACAGAAAAGGGCTGTAGCCCACAACGTCTCCAGAGTTGTACTTCTTCCGATCTTCGCTAGGTGACTGTACTCCGTTCTATCGCAACTGACACTTCACAAACCTCTGGAAACGTCTGTATATTTAAGATTTGATTTTTGTGTGTTTTGTATGTATTTAAGTTATGTTCCTGTACTGTTTGACTATGGGTTAATGAGTGCATGAAAGAAATAAATAGATAAACAAAAAAATACTATGTAATGTACATAAAAAATGTAACTATGGAGTGTCTATCCGTATCAAACCGATATCCGTGATAAGTTCTGACGTTAAGTTAGTTGCTACAACCGACTGACGTTTGAATCTTGGTTTCTTATCAGTGTAAACTATGCCGTTGACGTGTGTAGACTGTAAATAGTGACAAGGGCACGAGTACGTCGCCCTTCAGAAGATTCTATAACTTTTACCAACGTCATGGAGCTCCGCCAAATGCCGACCATGACATGATTCAGATGTTTGAAGATTTTTTTCCAAGTGGACTTTTCAGTTGAAGGAACCGCGTCACAGTCCAAATGTGTCCATGCAAGCTCAACACTGTTGACATTCTGGGGCACATCTTTTGTTGACAAAGAGTGACGAGAAGTAGAATGTAATCCTTTGGATCCGGATACAGATCTGTTGTAAAATTATGGAGATATAACAGCGCTCATAGAGGAACATTTGGGAATTGCAGCACAAAGTCTGAAAGTCCATGGCCTTGCAGCCACCCCGATTTCAGCTCCATTCTGTGGTCAAAATAGGGGTGGATACCATTCTTCTGAGTTAGGTTTTCCTAAGGACTTCGCCAGTCACCCAGTCCTCTCTAATCCTACACGCAGCCACACCCAGGAATCTGTGGAGTTCTTGTATTCGTTTGACGCCAAAGAGTGAAATGTTGCTATCTCATCTGATAATCTCTCCCTAGATGTTTTAAAGAGTAAAAGTTGTTTTAACCGTCTGCTCGCCTGGTCGGGCAAGCAAATCTTTTCACTTTCCCAGAGCCTCGCGGTCGTTAATTGTTTGTTTGTTGTTGGTTACTTCGTCTCCAAACCAGACCGGCAGATGTATAATTGGACACATGATGATTGGTCGCCTGACATGGAGACCTTTCCTGTGTGCCGACTTGATTTGTTATTTCCTTAATGACCTGTAATAGATTTCCTCCCCGACTCGGTTTTAGGTTGATACTGTGAGTGGAATGCACATACACGGACCAGCCCTCCCCAGCAGGCATGAATGACCTAAAACTATACCAGATCTAGGCCTATAACGGCATCTGTACGGGCTATCAGTTTTTCTCCGGGCCCTCTGCATCTTTTACCAGATTATTGTCGAAGTTTGTAGTTAGACTACCAGATGACATCTTGTACGTCGGTTTAGTCTGAACGTTAACGCAATATGATTCCATAAATATAAATATATATAAAAAGTTCGTCTAGGGCGTTTTTTTTCTGATCCTGTAGCGTATTCTCTCAGGCAAACCATACCCAAGACATTTCGGCCTGGTGACTACATTCCTCTGAGTCTGAACATTAATTAATAGTTACAGTACAAAACTTCCAGGGAATATTTGACGTTGTTACTAAGTAGGGCACCAATGATAAAGTGGCCTCTGGTGCCAAAGTTGAGAAGTTGTTTCAAATCAGTATTAAAAGTCGTTACGTCCCTGAGAACACATGTCCTCCAGGACTACCGTGGCTGTCGGCACACCAGGCACATGGCAGGACACCGAGAATGCCACTATTACACAGGGAACACTAATTAGACACGACAGGTCCAAAAGACCCTGCCGGGCCAAACTAGGCCATAAGGCACCGTGCCACTGGTCAGTTCGGACCTTCCTCTGGACGTGGTGGATTATCTGGGAGTCCGGGGCATGAAAGGTACGGTTACAACTCATTCCAACGTTTATACCAGTCTGAAGGTTACGACTATTCATCTGATCTGCGACTGAGGTATACATACGTAGTTCATGACTGTTAGAATGACAGAGACCCTCAAAGACGGGCAACGATTGAGAAGAGGCATAAACTTCACACTTCTTCTCAGGCTTGGATTCATGGACGCATGATGTGGGATGTGGGATCGTACAGTGGTGTAACTGGCGATGTACGATAGTATTGGCCATGGATCTCTGAGAAAATGTAGTCTGGTGCTTCTGTAGTGGGTTCGAGAATCTCGCCTTTGTGTTTGAGAGGTTAAAATAATCTAGACCCTATGCGGCTGACCACATCAGTACTCCGACAGCCGGCAGGTCACCGTCATATCAAATGGTGAAGTGATTTATATCCACTGACAACTGCCCATCTCGTCAGAACAGTTTGTACATCCCAGGGTCCGTGTGTGTACAACCCCTGGTTTTCATTGACACACCAATAAACTGTGTCAACTCCGACATCATAATGGCCGAGGAAAATTGATGTTTACAAATTGAAACGAGGGCGCTTTCGTCGCTCGGTCCTGTGTAGTGGAAGAGGGCGGGGAGAGTAGATTGGATAGATTGTATAGAATTGTGGAGGAGGGACTCAAAGCACTGTTAACATGTAACGTACTAGACCGGCTCACGGTAGTCAATGTTATGTGTGATTTAGTTGTGATCTGTGATTGTTAGCTTTCACTTGCCGATAATGTTTTCAACCACAGATTGAACTCATTATCCGTTATGCACCGAGCAACCGATAGGTCACATACATAAAACGACGGGTTGGTATTGTATAATATGACTTGATGTACGTATGTTGGTTCGTCAGTTCGTTCATTGAAAGTTGCTTATAAGGTGCATTGTGCTGCTTGTCTTTATATTGGCTACTATTAGTATTATCATATGACTTTTTGTGGTTTATAAGACGTAGAAAGGTCACCAATAGGTCGCACAGGTCGTGAGAGAAGCCACTTCAGGAGTATTTCTTCCCAAAAATCGTGGTCAACCGTAGATTTTCAAATTAATTCATTCTTGGACATCCATGCAGAAAAATCGCCAAGACATTACCTCTGTCCTAGAAGTAAAAGTATCCCCCCGAGTCCACTTTCGTGCCACGTACGAGGCCAGAGCGGCAGACCCGGTCCTGTCAGCGGGTTTTATCGGGTGCATGTGTGTGATGGCCGCGGAAGGGTGACCCTTGGCGACCTACCCTAACATCGGGGGCACGGGGCGAGGGAGGTGGCGGTAAAGAAGGTCTAAATGTCCCCAAATACAACAGATCCCGTCCTTAATGGAAGAGGCAGGGGGTGTCTGCGGGAAATATTTCATATGAAAACTCAATTGGAAATGTCGAAGATGAAAGGGTGGTTTTTTGAATGGCCTTTGTTTTCATAGACGAGGACTGGATGTATTTCACCCAGAGTAGCATAGCTCACAAGTCAATTGTTTCGTCAAGGAGGCTGTATGAAAAGCGCGACCACAGTTTTGGTAGGGTAGGAAAAATCACAACAATACAATACAAAGAAACCACTCCGACATACCACCTTGAAATTTCGCATTAGGCAAGACGCTGTATATATTCAGACCAGAATCTGTATCCCCCTCCTCACATTAGAAAGACGAACAAAGAGAGATGTCACAGAAGACGTTTGACAGTAATGAGACTTGATGTGTATAATCCAGCCATTGATCTACATTGTCCGTTATCTGTGAGATATATCTCTGTTAACGCTGAACTTGAGAAAGATATATGGCTGTTTTACCGTCTGGAGAACTGGATCAAAGTGCCCTGTGGAGGCCGAGGCGATATGGGTAGGTGTGTCCTGCTGTGGACGTCTTTGGGAGGAAGGAATACATTCATACTAAGTAGGCACAGCGTCCGGGACAAATATTTTGAGAGTCTCTACATGACATATCTATATACAACGTCAAGCACTACTCGATAATGTGATTTAACTATCCAATCCTGTAAATTCGGTTATCGGCGTCCTTTTATGAACTAAACTCACGTATGTCGGGTGAGGGGCGGGGTGATATAGGTACAAACCGTTATTATAAACGCTTTCGTAAACGCCGCTCCTATGGTGAAAATTACGTATTCTCTAGCGTGTGATGGACATGTGTTTGTGCTATCTCCGGGGTTAGATAGAGGGGCGGGCTCTGGGTAATTACGAAAGGAAAACAACTCAGGACAATGTGACGTCATCTCATCCATCCTTCTCAACGACCGACCGACCGGAGACAGGACGGACGGTTCCTCCAAGCAGACGTGCGGTGTATTTTCCTCCGGTCCTACCTGTCTACGTCTGTCTTGTGTTCTTTTACTCTCTCTTGATTGTATGGCCAAAACTGGCAAATATATCATGAAGACTAGGGAAGCAGCACGTTTCCTGCAAGAGTCCTG